GGAATTTAGGTAAATACTCTAAAATTTCTGCCTACGAAAATTAATTTTGAACTTTGACCGGTTTTGCGGGTCATCAACAACAGATGGTCAGGACTGACCTCAAAGCCCACCTTGGGCCATCAAACAATGCATGAACGCTTGCATGCATGAGATCTTGTTTTGGGTCACTTTGAAATTTCCCAACAAGCACTCTGAAGTTATTTCACAAACATCTTTAATGGTCAATGACACATTGTAACCTTGGAATTTTAAATTGTGTTACATTGTTCTGCTGCACCAGAGGTCATGCTTGATAGGTACATACCACAGGGTCAGGGATAACACTTATGTCAGTATTGTGTCCAATTAAACTAAACATAAAGCATGTTAACAGTTAACGACCACATGGAGGGGGGTGGGGGCATGCAGTGAAGAAAATGAAATATTTTGGTGAAATTCGATCACTAAATCATTTATACATCTTGAGAATCATCATACATATTGCATTCTAGGTCTTAAATTATCATTAAGTTTTGTTAGATCTTCATAAAAGGAATAATAAATTAAGCACAAAGCTTTAATGGTTAACATTTTTTTAAGCTTCATTGATAAATGAATACCTGTTGGCCATAAGAAATAACATAAGAATTTCTATTTAACATCCCTTTCAAATGAAATTATAATTGAAAGTTTAAAGAATTGTTTTGTTTTGTTTGTTTGTTTGTTTTGGGTTTTACGTCACATCAACACAGTATAGGTCATATCGCGACGTTCCAGCTTTACTGGTGGAGGAAGACCTCAGGTGCCCTTCCGTGCATTATTTCAGGCACAAATTGGCACCTGAGTAGAACCACCGCAATCCGTAAGCTAGCTGGATAGCTTCCTCACATGAAAGAATCCAAAGTCCCTGTCGGGATTCGAACCCACAGCGGTGAGGGGCAAGTGGTAAATTGTTTTGTAACAGCTAAATTACAGAACATATGCAATAGCAATTCTGTCATAGACTGGCTGGCAGTTACATCCTAAAGGTTCCTATAGATACTGTGCCAGTAACAACATGTGATAACCCTATATCTCCACTGTTATAACCCATTTTCCAACAGAACTCAGCATCAGAAGGAGCTAGAAATTACAAAGTAAATGATTTAATGCTGTTTTTGTTTAAAAACCGCAATGCTGCATTGCTGCCTTAAACATAAAAAGGATGAGTGATTTTTCAGTAAAAATATTTTATCCAAAAATGTAACTGTTTTGGCTTTTATTTCCAACAGATTTGATTGAAAATATATAACTCTTCACAAAACTCATTTAAGACATCTATTGGATGACAATAGATTACAAGATTTTTTTTCATATAACTCCATTGTCCAAAACAAACATTTGACTCCCTCTGGAGCATCCAAAAAATAAATATGCAAATTTTTGTAACCTCCAAAATGTACATGTATTCAAATCTAGAATGAAATGTAAACCAAAATATTTTCTTAAAAAATTAAATCTGGATCAACAAAAAAAAATGGGAATTGAGCTGTGGACAAGAAAACAAGGGCTAATTTTTATTTTTCCTTTTTTGTTATATTTTGCCCCCCGACACAAGAAATTCTTCAGATATTTTTTATGCAAAAAGAATACAGAATGCCTTTCAGTTAAGGGGACATATGGAAGTAAAACAACTAAAATTTCCCCTGCACCCCTCACACTTTCTTCAAAGAATGGGGGGTCTGGATCAATGAGGGGGGCTTTAAACTTCAGCTAAAAAGCTAAGCAAAATATTTCTTAATATTCTTTGATTCATAGATAATATGAACTTACTTTTTGAGACAATCTAAAACTTTTTTGCTGACTCCAACTTGTGCCCATTCTCTGACTGGTTTAGGACAGCCTTTCCCATGCACTTTTATTTGTTCCATCTCCGTTCTTAATTCTTCAGTCTCTGTAAAACAATAGATATTGAAAAGTCAGCTCCAATCATATACAATGTTAACAAGTTAAAAAGGGGCATAACTTAAACATATAACTTTCAGAATAATGCCCTTGTCTTTCAACAGTGCCATGCTGGACAAATAAGTATTCAAAGGACCAAGATGCAAGTTGATATCTTTCACTTTTGAAATAAATCCACTAAAAAGGCCAATCTTGACTAAAAGTTGTAAAAAATTGCTTAAAAAAATGTAAATTAAAAATGGGGCATATTTGTAAAAATTTTGCTTTCAGGATTATGCCCTTGATTTAAAGCTGTATCTGTTCATAATCATGATGCGCTCCAAGTTTCACATTGATAATATCGTTCATACTTTTGAAATCATTTAACTTAATAAGCAATTTGTCAAGAAGTTAAGTTAAAGAGGAATAACTCCAAAAATATAGATAGATAGCTTTCAGAATAATGCCCCTTGTCAAACAAAAGTGCCTTGTCAAGATAAAGAAGATTGACAAGTTTTAAAATTATAAAAATCAATAGGCAATTTTGCCAAAAATTTAAAAAGGTGCATAACTTCAAAAATATAGCTATAAGAATAATGCCTCTTGTCTTCTAACTACCTTTTTTATGATAAGCAGGAATAGTAATTTTCATATTGTTATCCTAGTTACTAACACAGTAAGGGCTATTTTTGCTTATTTTGACAAGATTTTGGTAATTTACATGTGTTGCAAGTGCTGCTTGCAATGTGTAAATTATTTTCTTTGTTTACTTAATAATATTTCACTTTGAAATACATTATTAAAATATTCATGAAAATTAGCATGAATCTGGAGGCAAGCTGCTTTAAAAAGAATTTGAATTTTAGATTTTACAGGAAAAAATGTCCTTAAGATAATGTAAAGGAAGATCCTGGCATCATATAAAATCAAGGTCAAGTACTTCAATATTATGATTATGGTTATATATCACATAACCTTGCATCTCTGACTCTGTACCGAGCGATCAGTGATCACATGTGTCACCTCATGATGGCCAATATTATGTTGGGACAAGTTTTGTGACAGACAGACAGACAGATGGACAGTGCACAACTAGACTTGGTACTGATCATTCCTGTAAAGTTTGGATAAAATTGCACCAGTAGTTTATGAGGAGTAGTCCGAACAAGCTTTTGTGTATCTGGCAACACACAGAAAAAACAACCTTTTTATCAAAGGGCCATAACTTGGCCAAAAATCATTCAACCGGAAAACCCGTGCAATATGCCCAAGGACTTGAGCTACAGGTCAATCCTGTAAAGTTTCATTGAAATTGCATTAGTGGTATAAGAGAAGTAGTCCGGACAAACTTTAGAAATAAAAATTATTAAAGGGCCATAACTCTGACAAAAATCATTGAACGGGAAAATGCTGACGGACAGACAAACGGACGGACGACGGAGAAGTGATCCCTATATGTCGCCACTACTCCGTAGAGGTGACACAAACATGGTATTGCACAGCCGTGCATATATTTTTATGTGATGCCATTTGTGTTATACAACCACAGCAAAAGGACATGCTAATTGTTAGCGTTATACTATGGCTGGTCATTAAAAAAAGTCATTCATTTTTACCCTAAATTAAAATAGCCCTTATTTTGGATATGTATTAAATTTGTGTAGCTTCATTACTAAATTTATTGAACTCTTTGAATAAAATAATATTATGCTCTGCAGAGGCTTGCATAACATAATTTTATTCAACTTGTTTAATAAATTCAGTATTGAACCTACACTCATTCATTATTTTCAAATATTAACTATTTACCTGCTAAATTTGTATAATGGATTTGCCCTTGTTCAAATTTGCAACAGTGAGTTTGAAAATCAAGGAATTTTCTGTATCAAAATAAAAAATTGAGCTAGCAAAATATATGTAGCCTGGTCAGACAGCATGGAAGTACAGGCTGGCGTGGCTCTGTACTGGTGGCAAAAGCTAATCACTTTTGGTTCCAGCATGCAGAAACTTTAGCAATAAAACTGCGACTTACCTTCTGGTGTCATCCTTGCTAGTTCAGGAACTTCCACATAGAAGTTTTTTCTAAATGGAGCATAATACACTTTACTGTGGTCAGTTGTGGCCAGATCCTAAAATTAAACATTAAAAGTATATGTCATATACAAGTCTACAAAACGAAGTAGAAGATAACTTCAAAATAAAAGATTCAAATATCTTCTATTTTAGCGATAAAACTATTTTGTAACATTTTACGAGCCTGTAATATTTTGTAAATCATTTTAGTATGAGAATACCTATTCTTACAAAGTACTATTGATTGAAGTGTTACAAAATGATACCGTTACATGGTCATGTATGTGGGTGGAGTAATACAACAAAATTCTGCTTCTATGATTTGGAGATGAGCCTTATATATCAACCATGTGATCTTTTGATGTCAAGTCACATCAAACTCCAATCAAACAAATCAAATGGCGTCATGGCCGAGTGGTTAATGAGTCAGACTCGTAATCTAATTATCACTAGCCGCAGGGGTTCAAATCCGACATGGACAAGTCATTGTTTCCTTGAGCAAAGATCTTTACTCTCATTGCTCAGTACTGGTTGGTTCCAGGAACAGATTCTAAAATGTGTCTATAAGCTTATAGCTTCTTACACTATCAAACTAAAATAAATTCTGTATAAACCAAATAACACTTTCCTCTGTACTTTTTTCTTATGTTTGAACATGTTAGCATTTAAAAAGCCACTTTCCTTGTTCATAAATCCATTGCTCAAATGCTTTGATAATTAACTAATTTTAATTAACTAATTAATATCAATCTGAACTTTATCTTCAAGTTCAAACCACTTAACATCTAAATGTGACCAGTGATATTTTTTAACAATGTATTTCATAATATAATGAATGTATGTAAGACATGAAAGTGGTATTACCTTCTTTTTCTTGATCATGTTCAGCATCGTGGAGTCGAGATCCTCTTCTTCTTCCTCTGATGAATACTATAAACATAAAATACATATACCGTAACAATTTACAAATATAATAAAATATTAACTAGTCCAATTTTTATAAACATGAAAACTAACAATTTACAAATATCATAGGGTCCAATTTTTCATAATGGATTAAGAAACTTGATCATGCAGTTGGGTAAAATGGTAACTTTACTATTTTTCCTAAACTTGATAATAAACTGAAATTACAGTGGATAAACAAAAATCACTGTTCTAGTCTTGCAAGTCTATGCAATTTAATGTGTAAATTTGTATCATGTCAGGAATTGTGACTTGTTCATCTAGACTACTATGGAAATGGTTTTCATTATATAGAAAATCAAACTTTTTTGCCTGGTTTCATCAAAAATATAAGCTACACAACAAAATCCTTATCCTGCTAAATTTTCTTAAAATGACTCTCATTCAGTTTCCATCATTTAGGAACAGCCCAGTATTAATTTTGGAGACCATCAAGATGATAATCTAAGAGATATCAAGATGGAAATTTTGAGTAAGTTTGCCTAAAGCATTATTATATGCAGTGATCATTTTTTTGCAATTTTCAAAACAACCTGTGGCTTTCTGAAGGGGAAAATATAGCGTGATAAATCAGAAAAGGGGAAATCAAATACCAACAACTGAGAATGGAATTTACGAAACATTTTATAAAATTTTCAATTACATTTCAATTTAATATGCATGGTACATAGCAGAGGCTATCTATAGGAACAGCTTTATCTGCTAGGTGATATTAGTCAGATGCTGTTAAGTCATGATTCTTATGAAGAATGTGCACAGGGCAATTTAGGGGAAAATACTAGCATTTTTAGGAGAAAATATACCTATTTTGGGCTTGGGGAAACAGCCTTTATTCGGCTGTTAAATACATGAAAAACATCACTGATGTGGCAAGAATGTATACACACATAATATTGAGAGTGAAATGTGCCATTATACCTCCATTAGATCTGTGTTGTTGAGCATAAGTTCTCCTTTCTGTACTGTAGGATCAGGTCTCTTCTTGGCTACAGCTGTGATTATAGTAACTTTACCACTGGAACTCTAAAATATACAAACATATCACATCATTATATCATTATAGTAACTTTACCACTGGAACTCTAAAATATACAAACATATCACATCAATATCACATCATTATGTCACATCATTATATCATTATAGTAACTTTACCACTGGAACTCTAAAATATACAAACATATCACATCATTATATCACATCATTATATCATTATAGTAACTTTACCACTGGAACTCTACAATATACAAACATATCACATCAATATCACATCATTATGTCACATCATTATATCATTATAGTAACTTTACCACTGGAACTCTAAAATATATACAAACATATCACATCATTATATCACATCATTATATCACATCATTATATCACATCATTATATCATTATAGTAACTTTACCACTGGAACTCTAAAATATACAAACATATCACATCAATATCATATCACTGGCTACAATTGTAAGGGAAATTCCTGAAAACTATATAATGAACCTATTAGCTAAAATTTCAAGTGGCCTTACAATACATGCTGTAATTCCAACAAGATTTATGGTCAAAATGTAACAATTAATCTTTCTTCCTAAAGTATGCTGTCTCCAAATATTAAGGAATATGTTATAGAATGAAAATGTAATGATCAAGCTTAAAGTGTCTGTTAACAGACTGACAGAACAAAAACAATATGCTCCTCAGCTCCTGATATATTGAAGTTCGAGCAATGTGTGGGCATGAAACAATTTATAACAATCAAATAAAATATAGTAAATCTTTATTTACAGTGCTCAGTTTCAATACATATAAATTTGGTCTGAGAAACATTTTATAAGTCTTACATCTTGGAAATTACTACCAGACTAGCTCGAAACCCCCCCCCCCAATGCTCCCCAACCTCATTTTTTTCAGAAGACTACAAAATAAGAATGAAATGTAATTTAAACTACATACATTATTTGTATCCATCGGTGTATGTTCCGGCTTCTTTATTTCCTCATTCACACTCTGAAAATATAAAATATATATTTTTTTACAATGACATCAAACTAGAAAATGAGTAATGAAACAGTTGTGCTGCTGACATTATTTTTCTAACTTTTCTTTATATTTCTAACCCTGTGAGCATCAATAATATTGGCCATTTATGTATGCCTACAGTACAGAAGAAGGAAAGCCATCGCATATGTGTGATTTTATAAATCTATATTTCATTGGCTACTGATGTTTACCTTTTTTTTTTTTTTTTTTGGATACCATAATACTTACAATTGCTAATGGACTGTTCCAAATTCAACTCAGGGCAAATCCATTGCCAAAATTTTAACATGGGTTAGTGTTTCTGTAAAATGTAAAACAGTTTTAGGTATGAGTTGTTGGACTTACCTGCATATAAGCATCCAGTGGATCAACTTCATTATCATCGTCAGTTTTTGTCTCATCGTCCTCATTTTCCTCATCATCATCATCCTCATCTTCAAGACTCCATTTCTTGGACGGTGGAGCTATATTGATTGGCAAAAGCTCCTTTGTCTTGTTTTTCTCTGCTCGCCATTTTTCTATTCTTTCCCGTCGCTTTTGCATTTCCATTTCAAGTCTTTTCTGTTCCTCTTCCTGATAAAAAGTCAAGACCATTAGTTAACACGAATGTTTCATTGCTAGCAGTTGAGTATATGGCCATTACTTCCCCCAAAAACGAAGAAGATAAAATAATACACATATCTGGCATAATGTCTTTTGTTAACAGTAACTTTGTTATGTTTTATTAACCTTAATACATGTACATTATAAGTACATGTACAAAATATCAGACTTTATCTTAATACCAATTATTATAAGCCATTTGCAAAATTTAAGGCCATTCACTCACTCTGTTCTTCCAGATTGATTTCTTATATTGTCAAAGTACAAAATGACTCAAATGGGGTAAATAACAACACAAAAAGTTGATTCTCAAATAAGTTCTGAGTATATTTCTTTAATATCTTTTGCATGTTTTTAAGTTTTAAGTGCCCCAGGTGACCTATATAAGAAATATATTTATAGTTTTAGGCCTTTGGACCAGTGTTGTGCTCCTTCACTCTTACAAGTTCTACATTATAAATGAAAATAACAGCAAATGAATGTAAAATGTAAAATTTATACAAGGTGAATAATTATATAATGTAACGTTTTATAACAGAAGTTTCTTGTTTATGAAACATTCTTTTTATAAAAGTTAGATAAAGTTATAAGTAAAATACGAGGGTTGTCCCAAAATGTCGTAGACTACATTATTTTCTCTTCAACCTGACGTCATAACTTAATAAAATTTACCAGATATCTTCCTTGGTCATTTGTTAATTTACCTTCTTAAAGTAAATAGCCAATATATAAGGTAATGTTTTTTATCAGGGTTTTATATTAAACAGTACAACATACCCGGAGCACGATAAAGTATTAGTGTTGAGAGCATGCTTCTTAAAAACATGCCTTTAACTTCCAGCATAATAATAATTATGGGAAATACATTCCTGTGGAACGATGTCATTCATTTTTACGTCATATCACCAACAGACGTTTATGTAACGCTACTTTGAAAAAATCTGTAGCATAATATGTAACAGCAATGCTATTTTGAAAATTCCCAAAATGGCGACGTCAGATGAAAATGCGGCGCAGCGCGATGTCATTGAATACTGTGTTTAGTTCAAGAAGCGTCCAGCATTAACTTTCAACATGGAGAACATTATATTTTATCAAGATAATGCACTTTGCCATAGATCTCAGGAGACACAGCTTGAACTTGATGTGATAGGTTTTTAGAGACTTCCATACGCCCTTAGACTTTGCAGTGTTTCCTTATGTGAAATCACAATTACGAGGTCACCCTGAGGTTTGAAAATTTCAGGGTACTAAGCAAGGAAACTCGACGAATGTTGAGAACATTAAAATAGGACTATTTTGAAAATGGTTATGATAAATGGGTCGCCTGACACCGACAGTGGATCGAGAAACACGGAGAATACTTTGAAAAACATTTTTTTAAATCTTGTAACATCATGACGTTTATGACGGAGTGCGCCGGGTATGTATATGTAGCATTCTTTAAATTTTAATAACTTGGTCATTTTTGGAGGTATTTTGATTTTATTTCGCATAGACACACATAAAAGGTGCATTGACTTTTCCCTAGCTTGACGACTCTATTGTTTTATAATTGATTGAGTAACAGACTTTGTCTACGATATTTTGGGACAACCCTCGTAGATACTAACCTTATCAAGAGGTTCATCTTTGACTCTTATAGCTCCTTCACCATACCTTGATGGTGATTTACTCTTTGATCTATCTTTAGAACTCCTTTTCCTGAAATATTCATAAATTTAAATTATATTTTAAAGAAAATTACATCTTTTATTAATCAAATACATAATCTTGAGAAATTATCAGGGGAAAACAGAATCATGCATGAAACCTTATTTTAAGTTTTTCATAACCACCGACTGCAAACTCTGAGCAGTATGAAAACTTTTTTTAAAAGAAAAATCTGCATATCAAATATGTTTTTTTCTGTACAGGTCAGAACACATTCTAGCAGTAAAATGTGAAACCAACAACTACTAATAAACCTTTTAAGTCCTATTTATGTTTTAATCAGGAAAAAGATAATAATTTTAAGTTTGATGGTTTTGTTTTTGATTTTCTATATAACTAATAGAAAAGTTTAACTTAAAGCAAACACGATGGTAAACTGTTTTTTGAATTTGTGAAAAGAAAATAATAAAATTTAATAGCAAAGTTCAAGATGACGTTTAAAACAGTGTCTGTAATTGCACAGCTTATACCTAAATATATAGATTGTGTATCACCTAAGAGGAAAAATAACTTACCTTCTGTCTCTTGACCTTGACCTTCTCTTCTCATCCTTTCTTCTTCTGTCTCTTGACCTAGATCTTTTACGGTCTCTGGACCTTGACCTTTTCCTTTCTCTAGATCTTGACCTTTTCCTTTCACGAGATCTTGAACGTTTTCTCTCTCGTGACTTTGATCTTCTTTCTTTTGACCTTGACCTTCTCCTTTCCTTTGACCTGGATCTTTTTCGCTTCCTGTCTCTTGATTTAGATCTAGATCGTCTTCTATAGGATCTGCATAATTAGAAAAAGTTATATTGCAGATATTCTTTCAAAGCAGTCTTAACAGCTTTAAAACGCACATCTGGTTTTCAAATGGGCAGCATTAGAGTATAAAAGCAATGCATTGCCAATTCTGGGAAATCATTTATGAACTTTAGTAAATGCCATTTAAGAACAGTACAAAACTGATTTGAGAATTTGAGAAAATATTCTTAAATCAGACCAAAGTTTCCAACAGTCATTGTCATTCTTTAAACCATTTTATATGTAAGTTTGATTGTATCAAGGAAGACTTATTCTAATGTTGTGAGGAATGGGTCACTCATTTCTTTTGCCACACTAACATTCCTTCTAGTATGCACTGTACTGTAAATGTTACTTGATATATATTTTTGGCAATGAAAATGTTTGTTTTTTTTACAGAAGAACTTGAACTACATGTAGAATATGAAACTTTTATAACTTTTAAAAGTTACCTCCCTAGTAAAATAATTATGACATTTTTTCTAAGATTTCATCAGCTTATACTATTTCAAGTTAAATCTATGAGAACAGACAATAGAGGAATTTTGAAATACAAATTTAGATCCTCATCCTTAAATCTTTGTAAACATAAATGAACAAGCAATTATCATAGTATTGCAAGCAATCCATAAGTCCCCTACCGGTTAGAACCCCAGCAACATTCTGATGGGCCATTGGCCATTCAATTTTACCAGTGAATGAATGACATAAATGAACTTAAATCTTTTGAGTTCTAAGTTTGTCTATATCATAGTAATGTGTTAAGTTTCCCTGCCTAGTAAGGAAATTATGTTTATACAACAGATAATCAAAAGGTCCAATTTTCTCAGATGAATAAGTATAACTAATGTTTCAACTTTTCTCTATTTTAAGTAAATTTGTTGGAAAAAATCTTTAAAAGTGATCTCAGGAAACAGTTTTTATGAACAGACAGACAGACATACAGACAGACTGAAGGAGACTCTTAAGTTATTTTTTAAACATCCCTGTTACCAAAATATAACATATTTTAATGCAAAATTCTTAAAGAGGAGATAACTCTTGAAATAAAGATGCTAGATTTATGAACATTGTCATATATGATGTGAGTTTTACTTTAAGTTTAAAGATACCATTTATAGTCACAAAAAAGATAAGAAAAAAATAACAATTTTCAAATATAGCATTAACTATAATGTATAGTAAGTAACAAAGATGAAAATTAAAAAAAAATATAATGTAGGTGTTGATAATGAATGTTTATTTTGAATTTGAAGAAAATCCATGAAGAAATAATTAGAAAGTTAAAGAATGAATAAGAACAAGAGCGATCAGTGATCACATGTGTCGCCTCATGATGGCCAATTTCATGTTGGGACAAGTTTTGTGACAGACGGACAGACAGTGCACAACTAGACTTGGTACTGATCATTCCTGTAAACTTAAATTGGATAAAATTGCACCAGTAGTTTATGAGGAGTAGTCCGGACAAAGCTTTTGTGTATCTAGCACACACAGAAAAAAAAACACCTTTTTATCAAATGGGCCATAACTCGGCCAAAAATCATTCAACCTGAAAACCCATGCAATATGCCCAAGGACTTGAGCTACAGATCAATCCTGTAAAGTTTCATTGAAATTGCATTAGTGGTATAAGAGAAGTAGTCCGGACAAACTTTAATTATAAAAATTATATAAGGGCCATAACTCTGACAAAATCATTCAACCGGAAAATGCTGACAATATGCACAACTAGACTTGCTTCTGATCATTCCTGTAAAGGTTGGATGAAATTGCACCAGTAGTTTATGAGGAGTAGTCCGGACAAGTTTTGTGACGGACGGACAGACAGACAACGGAGAAGTGATCCCTATAATTATGTCGCCACTACTCCGTAGAGGCGACACAAAAATTCAAAGTTTAAGGAGGAGATAATTCTGGAAATATGGATTCTAGATTTATGAACGTTATCATATTATTACGATGTGGGATTTTAAAGTAAATCCTATAAGAAATGAAGAAGTTGGAGTAAAAAATTCCAATTTCCCGAAAAAAATCTAAGTTCAAGGGGGACATAATTCTGGAATTGTCTTGCTAGAGTATTTAACCTTCTCACAAATGTTGAGTGATAATAAGAAACATATATATGAAGTTTGAAGTAGATACATCAAGAAATAAAGGACAACATTTTTTTCATAAAAATTCTAAGTTCAAGGGAGGTAATTCTGATAATTTTTGTGCTAGAGTTGTAAACCTTGTCTTATATGATGTGGTTGATGACAAGAAACTTATATTTAAAGTTTGAAGTAAACACCTTAAGAAATAAAGAACTTATAGTAAAAAGCGTAAAAATTCAAATCAGAAATCTTGAAATTCAGTCTATTTGTTGCCATAGCAACCAGAATTTTCAACATAGGAAGAAAAGAAAAAGATGTGCATAATCTCTAGACTGCCGTCTACCCATATTTCAAGTTTCATAAAAATATTTTCAGTACTTTTTGAGTTATCACTGGATCCAGTTTATGTGTTCAATTTGCCATATTTTCAGTCTATTTGTTGCCATAGCAACCAGAATTTTCAACATAGGAAGAAAAGAAAAAGATGTGCATAATCTCCATACTGCCATTTATCCATATATCAAGTTCAGTACTTTTTGCGTTATCGCGGGATCCAGTTTTATGGACGGACGGACTGACAGACAAACCTAAAGTCCCCTCCGGTTAAACCGATAGGGGACTAATAAAAGCAACTACATGTGTATGTACATTTTGATGAATTAAAATTTCAATTATTTTAGAAATAAAAGTATCCAACTATGAAACCAACCCAGTATGACTTTTATTTATTTAAACAATTAATGAAAACAATTCGTCAAAAGCTTGGATGTTTTAGTTTAAATCTGACAATTCAAACTTCACAATTTCCATGTCATTAAATTTATAGACTATTCACAAATCTATAAAAATGGAAAAATCCTGGATCTGTTTGTGTTATTACTTATTTACAACTTATAACTGGTTAGATAACTCCTACACCAACTCACAGATTTTTTTTTCAATATCTTAATGATCTTTTTGTATATTCAAAATTTTGACCCACCGTTCAAAGATTTTATGACACACAGCAAAAATTATTTATTGAAATGGAAACTAAATATTAGGTAAATCATTTTTAATGTATCCAAAACGTTGTGTTTCTAACCCACTATTGTAGATTAAGCTGACACTTGAAAATCAGCATCAAGCATTTATTTTTACACTTTAAATGATTTACATTTTTTGTGGTTGATATATTAACCATTTTCAAAGGAAAAATTCCAACTCAGCCTCAGATATATATGGTAGTTTAAGTAATAAGAATGTTTAGTGGCAGTTTTTATAAACAAAAAGTTATGATCAAGTCACATTAAATTTTCCTTCTTTTAAAAAAATCATCTTTCCTGCTTCTATAATTACTTGGTTATTTAACAAGTGCTTGTTGTTGAAAAGAAAAGAGTTCATGGCATATGAGAAATATATATATATAAAAATAACATAAATTTATCATTATCTATGTGTTGAACAATTATATCTCCAGTATTCAATTTCACAATAATTATGTGTGTTATGAACAGTTAGGTTGGTGGACAAGTTGTTTAAGATTGATCGTCACACCTCTGAATACAGTTTGACGAATAACAGGTTGATGAGAAATCCACATGGCTGAATAATGATCAGTTTTAAATCAGGTAAGAGTTTGTCAATCTATGGCATCAGTAAGTGAACATTATAACCAAGATAAGTATTTTCACTTCATTCAGTAGTTATTTTATAAAATCACAAAAAGGTTAGTTTGACAAATCCAAAATATAATTATTTAGAAAAAGGTTTTCATCGGTAGCCAATATCCGAATACTACTCTACTTTCGTAAGTAAAAGTATCAAATTAGGCAAGGCAAAGGAATAAAAAGTTCAACAGAAAACATTTTTCAATTCAAGTTCCAAATCAAATTATTAAATTAAATAGATTACCTTCCTTCTTTGGCCATATTTATTTTTAACAATACTATAAAAGTGATAATGTGTCGAGTACGAATCGGGTCGAGACGATTTTAGGACGTTACAAACGTCACAACTTTTCGAACTCAAGGTAATTCGAACCAAATTAATTTCAACCCGAAATATATGTAAAACTTAAAAAAATCATTTTAAATGTATTCTTTGACACAAATTTCAAAAATTTAGGTTTCTTTATCCAACATTTAAAGACAACTTTTTGATGGGGCTCTTTGTCATAGTTTTAATTGCATTCAATTAAAACACTTGCAAAACGGTGAACCATCACGTGGTTTGTTACGTCACGTGATTGCTTATCAAGATAAACGAAGCGGCAAATTTGAGAAATATTCACATTTCTTTCATCAGAAGCTTTTCCGTAAAAAGACACCCATATATTTGGTGTAAGTCCTTATAACACTATACCACCGTGTATATCTTCCATTGTGACGCAATTCCACGACATACGATTGCACGTGCAAGCTTGTAGAGGGTCAACTTGGCGCTCTTATAAAAACCTATTAGGATATAAATCGTTTAGTTAATAAGGAGTAAATTAAGGTTTTTAGATTGAAATTTGGTGACAATAAATGTAATTAGAATCTATATTAAACAAGGTGTGTTCTTTAAAAGACCCTATGCTGTTTGGACAATATTATCTAAAAAAAATAAAATATCTGAAGTAGGCAAAACATGCATAAGACTTGGAAATTTCTTCCTTTCTGTAAAAATTGAATTTGTTAATTCAAATACTTTCATCAAAAACTTTTGACTTTAGATTAGTATAAACATGAAAATGTTAAACAGTGAAACTAATGATGAAAAAGTAATCATTAACAGTAATATACAATTATAGGCTGAGTTTGCCTGAAGATTCATGCTAGCTTACCTGACTTTATACTAGTGGCAAAGGAGTTAATATGGTCTTTTTGTTTGTTTGTTTTGTGGGTTTTTTTTAAATGCCTGAGAGATATATGTTCCAGATGTTATATACTTTTTAGTGTAAAATTAGTGAAAAGTTTTCATATAGATATTTATTCAAAATTAAAACTGTTCAATAGAATTTGTTGTAACTTGGCAGTGCCTTTTACCTCTCATACAGCAGGTGATATAAAAGCATATATATCAGCAGCCATCAGCACTGCTTGCAATTAGAAAATCATTCAGCAGTGAAATATATTAACTAAGTTCAACAAGTGGTTGGATAAACTTTTGTAAAATAACAAATTATTTCTATTGGCCTGAAATGTTACTCAAAACAGAGGAGAAGAAAATTAAGTAAGGCCTATTATATCAAACACTTGACATGGGAAAGGAAAGCAATTAGTGATAAATCTACCTCAACTGCTTGACATAGCTTATTCATAAACTTGAACCCTTGGACCAAGCTTAAAAAAACTTTGATTAGTAATACTCACTCTGACCCTCTTAGTGTAAATGCTCAGGGTATTCTAATAACTAAGAGTCATGTCAAACTTTCATTTTGTTGCTCAATTTTGCAATTTTGATTTTGAAATCCTTTAAAAATGATATTCTACGGATATTAAATCGTAAAAATATATATTTCACTTTTTACATGTTTCTTCCCTCCTTACAACGTCCTAAATGTGTCCTCTCTTGGTTTTTTGGTTTGGTGCCTTCTGGGTCCCCTTATGGTGTGGTTCAGGTATGTGTCGGAGGCTGCGTCCTGTGAATGCAATGCTTTTGCCTTGTTTATCTTTGTTCTCATTTTTTTGTGTATAAAATCATCATTGTAAAACTTACTTCAACGAAAGAGATGCTTCAATTTTATCTGTTCAGCATACAATGTTTTAGCCCTAACTCATTGCCAATTTTCATTTTAACATAATTATTAATCTATTATGTAGCTCACAATGTCTTTCTGTATATTTTGTAAACAGATTTAGATTGAATCCTTTATAATGAACAAAATTAAAATTCTTCCTTATATATTATAAACATAATTTTTATCATGTTGATGCATGACTAGTATTGCCTTGAGCAACAGAAAATACCCCCAAAAATATTGTAATATTGTAACACTGTGCATCTTGATTACAAAGCATTTCAAATTCTGCCTTTTTTAATAGGAAGAATAAAACATTTTATTATAAATGGCTGCAGTACATTATTTAATATATTTATAGAGTGTCATTACATAATCCACATGATACAAGGTTAGGGCCTACAAAATTTAATCCAGAATTAGTGCTAAATTTTACACAGCATGATGCTTAACCCTTTTGTGATATGGCTTTATATAAGGGTGTGGCTTCATAATAGCTAGGTGTCTAAATCAAAGAAAACTTCAGATTTATCAATATTATTGAAAATTCGTACAGTAACACTGATGGTGAGTTACATGTTAGTACCCCAACTCTTTGTAAACATTTGTAATTGGCTGGTCTTGCTATTAATGATATGGGATTTCAACACCAGTAAGACCACAGAGGATTAATGGACTTATTTCTGAAAATTTACAATCATAAGCATTTGAATTTGAGATAATTAACAGTCTGTTTGTAAGGACATTGGAATACCAAAACAATTTAAGGACTCTTATGTTAACAAGTTATAAACCACTTCATGTCAAGTGGGGTGTTTGCAATGATACATGGTTTACAACATTTTGTGCTAATTTTCCTATAGAATAATATGGAATAAGGAGTTTGGAAAAAAAAAGAATTATAATTAATGTAGGGTTATGAAAAATAGATAAACTGGAATTGGATTTAAAATTTGGAACATCATTTGAGCTGAGAATGATTTCCAGAAGATTTTTACTAATATTTTTACTACTGGTTGTGTGTCTGCTCAGTATAGGTGCGAAAAAGGCAAGTGTTCATTTTAACTTCCTTTACCCTCTTGACCTACAAAATTGGACTATTCCAGCTTCCATTTTTTTAAACTGTTCATTGAAATTTGGGGGTGTCAAGATGCAGTTAACTGTTGACCCTGGGTATCAGGGATGATTTTTTGGAACTGTTGCCATCGCCCTTCGGCCTCTTGCAACAGTTTCAAAGTCATCCTGATACCGAGGGGCAACAGTTCTCACTGTTCCACAAACAGTCCAATGAAATAACTCAGCATAATGATGCAAGTATACCAAGGAAACAGTAAATTAAAATAATAACATAACAAAACAGTACTATTAGATAGTTGTAAAAATTAGAATAACAAAACAACAACATCAAACCAAAAAACACACATTGAGAAAATGTTTTTTGTTTTTAAGGGACATGGGAGGAGAGGCAGGAACCAAGGCAGGTCAGCCATTGAATATTTTCCTCCAGTTAGTGGACAAAGAATCAGGTGAGTGGAACCATGTTTAAGGTGATTTTAGTGAGATGTAGAATTTCATAGGATACAGTGATCTGATAATTATGTAAACTGCAGTCTGGTAAAGAGTCGGATTTTGACTACATGTAGAACACTCAGCCTAAAAGAAGTTAAGACGTTTTTTGGGCACATCTTATATCAAAGATGCCATAATCATCTTTATATTAGAAATATATTGTGTGGCACTACTGCTGGTAAAGTGGTTAACTCGTCACAATAGTAAATTCCTGGTCTCTTAAGTCTTAAGCCACGTGGTTTCAACAACATCGAGTGCAGTACACTAGTTGTTGAGTTACTACTGAATGGATTCAAGAGTGTCACTGTCTACACTTAGCTTATAGCTTCCAAGTTCCACAAACAAACTAAAATAAATTAAGAATATTGATATAAGAGAAAATATTTATTCTTTATTAAATTGGCATTCTAAATAGCAAAAAATTTCAGAATAGTAATTGTTTGAGAAATTTAATTGAATTAGCATGTAACAATTAATTAAAGTTAATTTATTTATTCATATTTAAAATTAAATTCAACTAACCCTAGTAACGATCTTCTTCTGTTTTATGTCTTATGTTTTACTAGACCATAGCAGTTTTTAAGAGCTGATTTTAATCAGATTGAATATTCACTTTTAATGACTGAATTTTCAGGTTTGGAGGAGGCAACAGAACATTTATGAGTGGGAACATTGAAGTTTACCTCCGTAATAAATGGGGTATAATTTGTGATGATAGCTGGGGTATTATAGATGCTAATGTTGCCTGCAAACAGCTTGGATTTACGAGGTTTGACAAGTTTTAATTTGCTATTTCTTTATAAGATAATTAAACAAGATTTTTGTAGCTTGATGAGAAATAAGTATTTTAATTCAATGATTTTATTCACTTTACTTTTTACCTAGCATTTGATGTTTAATATTAAAATTAACGATTTAAGCGTCTTATACCACCAGTAAATTATTAGTTTTAAGTCTACTCCTTAAAGTAACTCCACTCAGAGGTAAAAAAAGCCTAAAAACTTTAAATCTTTTAAACAAATAGGTATATAAAGTGAATTAAGCACTTAAAATGGAAAAATCTGCAAAGGATAATACAGAATTATAATTGGAATTAAAATTAAAATTTATCATGGAATCTTTTGACAATTTTGTCCTACCGGTATGTCAATTAATAGAAAACTCTCGAGTCCACTCTATTATTTTATCTATTTACTTATACAGATAATTAATCATGTTTATAATACTTATACAACATCTTAAACTTCGTCACATACCAATTAAGCCAGCCTTAATTTTACTGGTTGAATTCATAGATAAATTGTCAAGATTGCATTATATAAGTTTTGTCTCATGCAAATAAATAGAGACACAAAAATATTTGTTTATTTTTGTCGTAAACTTTAAGATGAAGATTAAGTTTACCCTGTAAACATTACATAAAGATATCAAACATTGTCCTGTCTCAGTAAACTTGATGCTTCAAATCTAAAACTTTTAACTTTGTTTTATTCCAATAAGATAAAGTTTATACCAGTAAATAAAGCCTTAAGTTTACCCCTTGAATTTTCTGTCTTAATTATCATATTGATAAAGCCTCAATTTTGGTGGTGGTCAGGTGGTGTTGGTTTTCACTCAGGATCACAGCAGTTAAATTAAGCCACATTGAATTTACCAGAGCACAGTTCAGCCACCGCCTTTTTCTTGGGTAGGCTGTTAAGCAGTGTACCAGTACAAGTTGCCTTCACTATCGCAAGTAACTGATATCTTCTGTACATGCCAGAGCAGAGGTATACTAAGTATTGGGAATGACCGTAGAAAGGCTTTCATTATCAATCACAACAAAATTGAAATACACCGTCCGGAAATCAAACCTAGGTCACCCGGCCTAAAATTTACACTTTTGACTTTCTTAACCCTTTCACTGCCATAGGGACGGCTTATGCCGTCCCTGTTATTTTCAGCGTATTTGCCATATGGACGGCTTTTGCCGTTTCTATAATAATCATAATAATAATAATAAATTAATTATAATAATAATAAAAATAATAATAAATATAAAGAAAATTATACCATCGACAATAATTATTATTATACTAGCATATTTGGAAACATATATAATTATTATAATACTAATAACAAATAATAATAATAATTATATTAATTAATAATATAGTAATTTCTTAGAAAACACTCTGGCAAATAGGTGATCAATAAAACAATAACCCCTTTGGCAGCGAAAGAGTTAATAATAGATGAAGTCTGAAGTTTGGGGCAATCAGATAAAGCTGAAAGATTATGCCTTAAAGAAAGGGTCAGTTATTGTGGTAAACTTAAGTTTGAAAGATGACTGTTCCATGCAGAAGTATTATTACAGAATCATACAAATTGATACAATACATGCATACCCCTGTAAATTTATGAGGCAGATATCCAGAGGTTGTATTTTATAATAATTTATAGGCGTTTTTTTACTTTTTCCCCATCTAATCCAGACACATGCAGTACAAAAAGCTTTTACCATTATAGCTTCACTGTGCAATGTTCAATGCTATTAAAATGCATGTAAAATATTAACCAAGTTGTAACTCACATTAAAAATTATTTTGTCAACCCAGGATAGATAATAGATAACTGGGAAAAACCTGGTGGCATTTGCCACTTAGTTCCAGAGAATCTGATCTATTTACATAATTCATAATTCAGAGGTGCAGTGGAGTTAACAGAGACCTCTTATTTTGGACATGGTTCATGGAATAGTAGCGATATTCTGATGGATGACGTTGATTGTTTGGGTCAAGAAAGAAATATTCTTACCTGTAACTATGAGTATCCTAGCAACTGTATTACAGAGGAAGGTGCTGGTGCCTTTTGCAAAGAAAATACTGGTAAATTGACAAATAGCCAACATGACAAAACCAACATAGTGCGTTTGCGACCAGCAGGGATCCAGACCAGCCTGGGCATCCGCGCAGTCTGATCAGGATCCATGCTGTTCGCTTACCAACTCTGTTACAAGTAGAGTAAATGATACCTAACAGCATGGATCCTGATCAGACTGCGCGGAGGTGCAGGCTGGTCTGGATCCATGCTGGTTGCAAACGCACTATGTTGGTTTTGTTGTCTCGCGGCTCAACTCATTGTTTGCCTTTTTGAGTGGTGTAATATATACTGCACATGTAAATCAGTTTTTACATTTTAAGGCTGGTGCATTGACATGTATACATTTATTAACATAGAAGTAATCAAATTTTTATTTTCAGCATTTAAAGTTATTTAACCATTGCATTGCTTAATATTTTAAATTCAATATGGACAAAACCATTTATCATTTTAAGGGAACATTTCAAAATAAGTATTGACTCAAAAATGGGAATTGTGCAGGCACATGTCTACAGACTGATCTTTGTCTGCACTGGTTGCATCTATTCACTGCCAGAAGGCTTATTTAAGGAGCAAACATCTTTTTGCATGCATGACCACTTTGGATTTCATGATCTGCTTTAACTTATGATGAGATGTAACAATTCATACAAGTTATTTGATGAACTTCACATTCCAGAGAATGTCAGTTTCCTTTTCCATGTTGAAATAGTTTTCTACCTCAATGTCAGACATTTAAAGCTTTAACTATCACTCACCACAGCACCATCAAAATTAATACTGATCTTGAAAATTTACAGGTTGTCCGACAGGATGGATTGCAGGAGATGAAAGTTGTTATTTCTTGTCGAATATAACAACAACAAAAAATAAGTTTGCTATTAACAAATGTGCCAATCAAGGAGGACATCTTGTAAATATTGAAACTGAGGCTGAAAACCATTTCCTGTCAAATTTATTTGCTCATATACCAGGAGGTGAGTAAGTAAGAAACCAGAAAATAAGATAAGGAGGATATTCAAGTTTTTTTCAATAAATACAGGATTAATATTTCCATTGAGTGGTATGAAATATGATAATTTTCATACCTCAAGATGAAAATAAATTGTGTACTAATAGAAAAATCTTGACTTTTCTGTTTATTATAAATTCTTTCTCTTTTTTAACTTGATGATTTGAAGGATTTCCCTTTTAATTTTCTTTATAAGCTAAATTTAGAAGAAAGTAGTCCGGTAAGATACCAGTGAAAGTATAAAAAATATGTCTCACTGCAGCGAAAAATAAATTTTCAAAGTGAAAATATGGAAAATGAAAATAGTATTTTATTTCATCAATATTTCTCAGTATTTCATTTATAAGTAGTTTTTCTTATGATATATTATACACTGATGTAATTTTGAAATAAATGTTCATTGAAATAAATGTTCATTAGCTGGGAACTGAAATCTTAACAGGTTGAACTGGAGGGCAATTTTCTAAGTTCTAGGGAGAAAATTATTTTGGTTTATCCCAATTTTGCTCTTTCAAGTCATACAAAGAAAGTCAGTTTTGAAGAATTTATAATTTATTACACAAAGCAGATCCTAGCTTAAAAGGGTAGATTATTTAACTATTGTAAAGATACATACAATTATGTTCAAACCTGTGTATGCCCTGTAATGCTTATAGATATATCCTACAAAACAATTTGTTACATAAGCTAATAATTAGCATCAAGGGCTGCATTTGTGTTTTATAATATAACATTTTTTTCTTAAAATAAATATTGCTTTATTTATTTTTCTAGAACCAATTATAATTGGAGGTATAAAAAAGAGAAACCATTGGATGTGGGAAAAGGTTGAAAGATCTTCATTTAGGAAGAAACGATCTCCAAGGAGAGGTGCAAGACCTAAAGTATCTTCAAGGACATCAAGACAAAGCACTGGCTCCAGCGAAAGTATCACACAAACATCAATACAATATTTCAAATGGTTTCCTGGTAAGTAACAGCTTTTTAAGAGTTATTTTTTTTATTGTTTTATAGGGTTTATAGCATTATTTTAAATGAATGGATCCTTCCTTCCTTCCTTCCTCCCTTCTCTATTTGTTCCTTCATGCCTCCCTGCTTATTTGTTGGACTCCTTCATTCCTTACTTTTTTTTGTTCCTTTGTTTATTCTTTTCTTAAAGATCCTGTAACACATTTTTTTCATGGTTTTATTTCATAAATATGACGCTCAAATTAAGATTTGTCAATCTTGTAAGTTTAAATAAGCATTATTTATAAAGATATTACCCAATTTAACATTTTGCGTAAATAAAGGGAGGTAATTAGAAATTTATTTTCTATAAATTCCAAGTCAAATTTTTCAATAAGAAATGAATGCATGTAACTTATTCATTAAATATAATGTGCACAAATATTTGCAGTACACATTTTACATATTCTTGGATGTTTGAAAATTGTTTTATTTGCATAATTATATACATATATAACATTTTGCAAGTGTGTGATACATACAGTAACAATATCAATCACAAAACATACAGGATCTTTAATTCTTTTGTTCCTTTGTTTGTTCCTTTGTTGATTTGTTCCTTCATTAGTTCCTTCATTCATTCTATCATTCGTTCATTCCTTTGTTTGTTTGTTTATTCCTTCATTTGTTTTTTCCCTTGTTCCTTCCACTGTTTGTTCATTCGTTTGTCCCTTTGTTTGTTCATTCATTCCTTCTCATTCATTCATTCCTTCTCATTCATTCATTCATTCATTCAATTCATTCATTCATTCATTCATTCAATTCATTCATTCATTCATTTAGTTACATTACTTATCTAATTAAGCTACTTGTTTGACCATATAATTATGTATGTCTTGTTTCAAGGCTGGATCCCAGGAAATGAAAACATGGAACCAAGCGGGAAAAAGTCGGAGAAATGTCTTTTTCTGAAGAGTTCATTTCCCCATCCAGACAAAGGTCAAGGTGAGGTGGATGTAGGATATCTATTCTGGTCTGATGATGTCTGCCTTAGAAAGAAGAAGAGAATGAAGAATGGTTTCCGATTCTTGTGTGAGAGACGTAGAGAAGAAATTGATTCACAAACAACCTTCCCAACTAGATCTGCAATCCAAGGTCAGTTATTCCCCATTATATAAAAGTCTTGGTATGTACTGGTTGCATGAATAGAATAAGCTTAAAAAGTTGAATAGTATAATTGGCTTGTCCTGCTTTAAGTATTTGTCACTTGAATGGTTTTGAACATGTAAAGGAATCCATATTTTTGTAATTATTTAGAAATGCCAAACATAATATTTGATAGTGTTTAAATAATGGATAAAGAACATGTGACACATTCAACAACTGAAAAAGTAGCACTAAACATGCAGGGATGTGTGATAAAGGTAGCAAAATGTAAACAAATAAGTATTTTGATTTCCATACAAAATACTAATTCACAAAATATACCATTTGCAAACAGATCAAAAAAGCAAAACATAGTTTATATACATGGCAGATTGTCTGTTTTTGCAAAAAGTAAAATGTAATGCAAAATATTGTTACGGTGAGTGTACAAAATAAAATAAAATCATTAGATTTTGTGAATTGACTTATCCACAAAATCCACAAAATTATTACCCCTATGAATGATAATGATTTTGCAGTACCAGCAAATTCCTGCAAAAACAATGCCAGATATTAAGATGTATTTTCTTTTTGCATAGAATGTTACAGAGACAATGGGGTAGATTATCGTGGAACTCATGCAAATACAGAAAAGGGAACAAATTGTATTAACTGGGCCGACTCGAGTAAACATACACCAGAGAAATTTCCTGATAAAGTAAGTAATTATGCCCCTGTTCAAAGAAATGGGGGTTTATTGCTTTACATTTGTCTGTCGGTCCGTCAGTCAGTCGGTACGTAGACCAAATGGTTTACGATCAATTACTAAAGAATGCTTAGACCTAGGAACTTCAAACTTGGTATGGGGATTGTTCATGACCAGAAGATGACCCCTAGTTTTCAATCATTAACATGACAACCCATGGGCTGTTGGCCCTCAAAGTTTGTAGGTGCATTGGTCTTGGCAAGTAAATGACCCCTATTGATTTTGGGGTCAAGGGGTCAAAGGTCAATGTCATATTTTTAATACCTTGTAGGTAAAACCAGTTTTTGAACTTGACAACTTGACCTTTAAAGTTTGTAGGTGCTTTGGTCTTGGCCAGTAAATGACCCCTATTGATTTTGGGGCCAAGGGGTCAAAGTTCAAGGTCATATTGACCTTGTAGGTAAAAACAGTTTCCGATCAATAACTTGACAACCCATAAGCCCTTGGCCCTCAAACTGCATAGGTGCATCAATTGTCTTTGCCAATTAATGACCCCTATTGATTTTGGGGTCAAAGGTTAAGGTAACATTGACCTTGTAAGCCAAAACAGTTTCCTATCAATAACTGGACAACCCATGGACACTTGACCTTTAAACTTCACAAATGCATTGCTGTTGGTCAGAAAGTGACCTCAATGGATTGTTGGGGTCAAGGGGTCAGAGGTCAAGATCACATTGACCTTGTAGGTAAAAACGATTTCTGATCAATATCTCAACAACTCATGGGCACTTTACCTTTAAACTTCACAGGTGCATTGGTCTTGGCCAGTAGATAACCCCTATTGATTTAAGGGTCAATGGTCAAAGTCAAAGTTTCAAACCAATAACTCAGCAACTCAAGTTGCCTTGGTTGATATTTTTAAATAACTAAAAATGCTTTTGGTTAACACATTTCAAGGTCTAATGATATATAACATGATTCATAAAATTTATGCATATATTATTTGGTAAGATTTATGATAACTTTGTCATAAATTGCTGCACACAACCTTTAGGTCACAATGACCTAGTGACTAGTCATGACCACTAGATAACCCCTATAATTTTTTGGTCACTATAGGTCAAAGTCAGTCACAATAACCTGGCCACATGACTAATTGGCTGCCAATAGGGGGCATACATGTTTTACAAACATGATCTTGTCTTTATGTGAAAATTATCAAATTATTACGTCAATGAGAACAAGTAAGACTAAAATGCATCGATTTATAAAATTTGGATATTTTTGTCTAAAACCTGTACTGTATCTGTTTATTATGTTACATACAGCAGAATCATCTGTTCATCATTACACATATTGCTTAAAAATGTCAAATTATACATTTTTAGGGTTTAGAGGGTCACAATTACTGTCGAAACCCAGATGATGATGTGCGACCTTGGTGTTATGTTGACAATGAGGGATCGTTTGGATACTGTCCTGTTCTGCAGTGTGACAATGTACAAGTAGAGGAGGAGCCATTGACTACTACAACACCCGTAATAACAACCTCAAGTAAGAACGCTCTCCCAAATTAATGGAATATTTTTATCAAATCTTAACCAAACAAAAAAAATTTTAATGGCCTTGTCCAACTTTGAATTTGGAACTGTTCATTTTCATATTACATGTAAAGGGATAAAAAAAAAATCAATATAAAAATGTTTACAGTCAACATGAACAGATATTCTTGATGCTGTGGCTGAAAATATAAATGAGCCGCGTCATGACAAAACCAACATAATGAGTTTACGACCAGCATGGATCCAGACCAGCCTTCACATCCGCGCAGTCTGATCAGGATCCATGCTGTTCGCTATCCGTTTCTCTACTTGTTATAGAGTTTGTAAGCGAACAGCATGGATCCTGATCAGACTGCGCGGATGCAGAGGCTGGTCTGGATCCATGCTGGTCGCAAACCCATTATGTTGGTTTTGTCATGATTCGGCTCAAATTGAATCATACAAGAATTAAATTATTTGTTATAATTACAGTGTCCCCAGAATGTCCCGATGACAAGTTTTACTGTGCACAGAGTGCAGAGTAAGTAATTTCTTTATTGTATTCATATTTATTATTTTATGTAACTAGTATATAGAATTATATAAAACCTATAAATGAAAAAAAACAAAAATAGAGATGATTTTTTTTTAAACTTTATATTTTGGGTTTGAAGCGTAAATATATCTAGATATATTGAACAAAATTTAGAGGCCGACAGAATCACAGAGTAGTTTTAAAACAAGCCATGTGTCTTGAACAAACCCATGAAGTTACATTAACAGATATTGTGGATATTTTATGATTGAAATAAGTCCAAGTTATTCATTTGACATGTTCTTTAACGTTTCCGGAATTCACTGTGGTAACTATTGCGAAATCTTAATTGCTCTAACCTGACCCATGCTGGTCAAGTTAGGAAATCATCATTCTATTCTTTATAGCAAACCTCATTTATAAGTACAGTTGTCTTTTGGAGGTAATGATGACAAAACCTCATTTATAAAAACAATTGGGTTTTTTTAAGGAAAAGGCAAAACCTAATTTATAAATAAAATCGTGTTTTTGAGGAAAAGGCAAACATGTGTAATGTAATGTTTTGATAATAGATTTAAAATATATTAAATGCTAAACAATTTGAGTAAATAAAAAAGCATTGAATCTTCAATGTAGGGGAAATGCAGTACAAAGTGATATTTTAATTCTTCCATACATAATATAAAATCACTATAACTTTACTAATTGAACAAAGACTAAAGAATCAAAAGGAGCACCACTTTTGAAACTGAAACATTAATTTTAAGCCTTAATAGAATAAAAATAAAAGCACTTGTAAGACTTAATGGGCATTTAACACAAGTATGCATATGTATAGACAATAAATATATTTCATTTGTTTGAATTTATAGACAGACCTGTAAATATAGTTCATTAATTTTGACAGTAAACATAGTTCATTTGTTTGACTATATAGACAGTAAATTATAATAGTTCATGTATTCAAGTTTATACTTGTAGACAGTAAATATAGTTCATTTGTTTGAATATTATTATGTGGACAGTAAAATACAGTTCATTTGTAAATATAGTTCATTTGTTTGAATATTATTGTGTGGACAGTAAAGTACAGTTCATTTGTTCAAATATATATTAGACAGTTAATATATTTCATTTGTTTGATTATATAGACAGTTAATATTGTTTGAATATATAGACAGATAATAGAGTTCATTTGTTCAAACATATATAGACAGTAACTATAGTTCATTTGTTCAATAAGGAATATTTATGTTATAGATGTATAACACAACTGTGGCATTGCGATTATGAAAATGATTGTAACTTTAATGAAGATGAACAAGATTGTGGCAAGTATTTATTTGAAATGTTCATTGCTTAATATGTTACCCCTTTCTATACCAAATTGAGAACAATGTTGCAACATTCTTGTTTTAGCTAAAATTGTACACATTGTATAAACTGGTAGTCACATTTGAACTGTCAATGTTCACTTTTATATATTTATTTCCAATACTTGTATACATTTGTTGGATTTAAACAAAATGTATAAGTGAAAAATCATTAGGTTTCAAATTAAAAAAAAATTGATAGCAACCAAGTTAGCCAAAACTGTTTTAGTGACAAGGTAGAAGTGTGCCAATCCTGCACATTAAACTTTACAAAGTTTAACATTTAAAACCATTAGTAGAGAAATTAAGTAGAAACTTCGTAGGTGGATAGATCGCATTGAGGAGTACAGTGCATTAGAATGTAACTCTACAGTACCCTTTATTTTGAGTTAGTGCTCTTTGTTATTATTTTTTTAAGATGATAACAAATGCAATTTGTTTGATAACAAATGCAATTTGTTAAGTAGCGGCATGGCCGAGTGGTTAACACGTCAGACTTAAGTAATCTAATGATCGTTAGCCGCATGGGTTCAAACCCTGTCAGGGGCCAGTTGTTAATAATGTTTCCTTGAGCAAGAAACTTTACACTCATTGCTCAGTACTGGTTGGTTCCAGGAACGGATTCAAAAGTTTGTCTATAATTAAAGCTTATAGCTTCCTACAAAATCAAACTAAAATAAATTCTGTATAAACCAAATGAATTTCATATTCTGATCCATATGTTGAAAACAATGTTCATTATTTATATAAATGAACCGCGTCACGACAAAACCAACATAATGCGTTTGCGACCAGCATGGATCCAGACCAGCCTGCGCATCCGCGCAGTCTGATCAGGATTCATGCTGGTCGCTCAAATATATTAAAATTTTAAAAAATGTAACCTTTATAAAATGTTACCATGATTTCAGATTACAAGGTGAATCAATTTGAGATGACACTAAATAGGGAAATAAGAAGCCATTACATTAAGGAGACATACATTGGTTTATCAAATGAAACAGTGAGTTATATCATCTGTACTTGAATAAGACACACTTAGATTTCCTACAATTTATCAGTTTAAAATTATAACAAAAATTCTTTTTGCAAACCATTTTATTAAAATTAGTATCGAGCACAAAAACTGCTAGCTTTAATGAAATTGATATAAGCTTGAAAGGAACTCCACTGAGGTCTAAAAGGCATAAAAACGTAAAATTTGAAAATCTTACAAATATCAAATGAAGCACTAAAAATTGAAAAATCTGCAAAGGGATAACAAAGAAATATGCTCAGAATTAAATTGAAAATCAATTTTATATGCAATTATTAGCAGAATTTTGGATGCATCGCTTTTCAATTTGGGCTATTCTTCACAATAAAAATGATTATTCTTGAAAAAACAGGATGAGGAAATCAGCATAAAATTTGCACACTTTGGTACACTACATTGGTACACAAATTTCAGACAAATATTTTTAGGGCTGTCATGTCTGAATACCTCCCCTTTAACTGACATAAATTACTACTGACTATTATTTGAGCCGCGTCATGACAAAACCAACATAGTGCGTTTGCGACCAGCATGGATCCAGACCAGCCTGCGCATCTGCGCAGTCTGATCAGGATCCATGCTGTTCGCTTACAAACCCTATTACAAGTATAGAAACTGATAGCGAACAGCATGGATCCTGATCAGACTGCGCAGGCTGGTCTGGATCCATGCTGGTCACAAACCCATTATGTTGGTTTTGTCATGACAGTCAGCTCATTTATGTTTATTAATTTTAATGTGTTATTTTTCATTTTGATTTGCAATATACTAATGTAGTAACGTTTGTTTGTAGCTTGTTTAGATATATCTATTGAATTCTTTAGTTTCATTTTCTTTATTCAACTCCCTAGTTTGTATTGTGATAGTTATTTAGTCACATAAGAGCTGTCAATTGATGTATCATCAATATTTTTCTGTTGATCAATAATTGATACACATTTGGAAAAATCAATAATTTGGACTTATAAATGTCTAGAAATTATGAGAAAATCACCCAAAACATATACAGAATCAGGTGATCATGTCTTAAACTACCGTATAAGTGGTATTTTCTGCAGTGACTTTATTTCTGCGGATTCTTCGGTCAATTTCAGCACCGCAGAAATAAAAACCGCAGAATATTTCTCCATGTTTTTTTTTTTTTTTTTTAACGATATTTGTCCCACATGATGACCTGTTTCCTCTAAAGTAATAACGACTAAACGGGATTTATAATGGTTAGCGGGACAAGTTATTTAAAATTGCTTTCGGCTAAGCATGTAATATTGCTTGTAAGGATTACTATTGTTAATTATGCCAATTTAGAATAAAGATATTAAACAATCATAGTGTTTGCTTGTACGCTAAAGGTTTGTTTACCACTCAAATCATTAAAACCATTTTAATTCTATACTGCTATAATTAATTTAGAAATCGTTCGTATAACATTAATTGTCCATGATTTGACGATTAACTCTCTATCAATTTTATTAATTAAAGATCACGGAAGCGGTGGGGGTATAATTTCACCATCATAATGCTGATCAAAAGATGCATACTGTCTATTGTTGCGCTTGTATATTTGTTTGCAAGCAAACTATTATAAATTGTTTGCAATTACTTATATAAGTTTTGCAAACTGATGATGAACAAAATTTATGCGATACTGTACATGCACATAAAAATGTAGCAGTTTGTTTTTACTTTTAGACTTTGACTACAGAATTGTGCCCGCAAATAAAAGTCACAGAATAAAACAGGCCAAAAGTTGAAAAAACCGGCAGAAATTTGGGAAGCTGCAGAAAAAACCACTTATACGGACTATGCTCATCAATCTGATTAAGTTCAGATCTTACTTACTTTCTTTATTTTGTAGATCTGTAGACGACAGAGATATGTTTCACCTTCATTTATTAATCAATTTCCCAAGAAAGCTATTTTTAGCATGTAATCAAACCGTTTTTACCATAGAGCGAAGTATCAATAACGTTATCCGGAAGTTAACAAATGTGTTGATTTTGTTAGGAAAATGTTTGAAGTAATTTTTTTAATTGGAAAAAAAGTTTGTAGTTATTTTAACATTTAACTTAAAATATAGAGTCAATTTTTTAATGGCAAGATTGTTTTGCCAGTTTACCTGTCGGCCTTTTGGACAATCATGTCAATGCCATCGCTTTCAAAATTATGAAAGCTCGCCGATGATTGGCTGTGTGAAACGTCACCAGAAATGATTTCGTATTGGGTCACGGTTAAATCTAAATGGGGAGCATTATTTAGAGCTGATTGTAATTAGATTGTGCTGTCCTGACATATTTCTAAGCAGTGATGACAGAAAAAATGGTCAGAAAAATTCTGCAATGGGCATTTTTTTAAAAAGGACACATAATTAATGAACAGAACTTGTATTTTACTGACATCTTTTTAACAGGTAATTTTGATGTGTAGTATAGAAAGATAATTATAGATATATCTGTGTGTCATCGATATTTGTCAGATGTGATGTTCAGATACAGTCGACTCTCGTTATTTCGAAGTCATCGGGACCGTCAAAAAAATGTCGAGATAACGAAATGTCGAGATAAACAATTATTAGGCGTTGATTAAGCAGAAACTGACTTTTAAAAAAAGACATGTGCATACCTCTAGTCAATAACTTTAGCTGTCCCATGTCCAATATGCCCAAAGTAATTAGCGGATGTTTACCAGCGGAAATATGCGGTGGTCTGTGATAAAAAACATAGTGAAGTTTACTCAGTTATACACCCAAGTAAGTTACATTGTTTCGGGTGTTTGATCCGGTATGCTCCCGGGTTACCTTATCGGTATTTCCCGAGATTTTTCGACCGCTTATTTGTTTGGTGGTGATTGTTTTGAAACAATATTGCAACCAAGCGTTCTATACTTTCACCTACTTCATCTTACACGTAAATCAATGATTGATGCAGTGTTCGAACTATTTATAAGGAACGCAGACATTCACTAATTTTGGAAATAAGTCAATCAACACCCTAAATAGCAATTAACTTTTATAAAACACAGCTACTAAACTTGTTAACAAACATAATCTCATCTATAACACATGCTTTTGAGACATTATCGTCTTAGTTGTGTCTTTTCACAGTCTGAGAGAACAGATTGAAAAGAAAACTAATGTCGAGCATAAACAAAAGTCAAGCTGTGAAAATACTGTTTGGGTAGAAATTTTCACATCGAGCTACTGAAAATAGTCGAAATAAAAATTATCGAATAAACAAATTTCCAATGAAGATAAAAGTAGGAAGAAAACGGGCGACTTTACATTTTTCCGAGTGGTAACGAAATATCGAGAAAAGCGATGTCAAGATAACGATAGTTGACTGTATTGTGAATATGCTTACTGCACAGTCAATCAATGACAGCTGTAGTCACCGAACTCCTACGCAGTGGTCCCCCTTTGCTTCACTACAATCAAATCACTGTGAGGAGTTTGTGTAGTCACATATCTCTTTAATTTTTGGGTTCTCAGTCTGCTTATTATTAAGTAACCGGTACATGTTTTTAGCTCTTTGGTTTTGTAATGCCCTAAGCTTCATGCAAATTTGTCTTTGATTTTCAGTGTGCTAAGCTTTGTTTATCAAGAACATCGTACGTTTGCCGTTCCTTTGCTTTCTACAGAGAAGATCGTAGTTGTGACTTGTCAGATGTGAACACTAGGATGGAAACATTACCTTATACTTGGAAGAACAACTCAGTTATATTATGAATTATATTCAGAAAAGTTATTAGGCCGTTAACGGCATGGCGGCTGTACTTGAGTAAGTAGAAAAATTAGGATAGAAGAAATTAGATTTATGAGTGGTAAATTAATATGCATGTAAATTTAGTATAAACCAATCACACAAAAGAAAATAACACCAGAAAAAATAAATGAGCAGCCAAGAAACTTTGAACAAATTTGAACTTATGGTGTTACAGTACTTATATTTTGTATTGTCTGGAAATATATTCAGTGCATCAAATATTTTATGGAATTCAGGTTTTCAAGGCTTGTTGCTTATGTTACATACTGTAATATTGTTACAGATTGTGATGGTATGTTTACATGTAACAATGGAAGATGTATTGACCTTGCCTTGGTATGTAATCATCATGATGATTGCGATGATCTTAGTGATGAACAAGTGGATATAGAAGCTTGCAGTAAGTTCTAATACACTTTACTAGTTTATTTGGTTATTTTAGACTTTTTGATCATTTTTATGCTTCGAGCATATAGTTGCCACTTCTTCATCACTAAATTAGTTAAAGGTCAAGGTCACCAATGCTAAAAATGGACTTTTACACTTTAGTTTATACAACCTTCATTCATTGACTTGAGCAATGTCTTTCATTGGTAGGTACCTATTTTTTGGTTGTAATGAAACTTTTTAGGAGTCACTTGTCATTAAACTTTTTTAGGAGTCACTGTTGTCAAAAATAGACTTTTACAGACTGTTTCTCAGATCAAATTGTCTTTCATAATTGATAAGGGCATACTTAGGTTGGTCACTCTAACTTAGATGGACCTATGTGACACTAGGGTCAAGGTTAATGATGATAAAAATAGATTTTTACATTTGTTCATACAGCATCAATATTGACATTAATGTTGGCCTCTTTTTAATTGGTAGGAAAATACCTTGGTGGGTAATATAGCAACAGAAGCAAATGATACTTAATCATCTATATAGCAAATTAGCAATTCTTCTGGAAACTGTAACATTTAAAGATACCCAAAATAAAAAGTTTTCGAGAAATGAAAATGGTAGCATATATGAGGAATAAAGGGCCTTTAAGAGTTACTTTCATCTAGATATTTTATAAAATTTAATGTGTTTTCTCTATTATTTCACTGTTTTCCAGGAACTACAGAGAGTATTGAGGTGAGACTTGTAGGCGGGACAGAGGAGCAAGAAGGGCGTGTAGAGGTCAAACATTTAGGACAGTGGGGAGTTATTTGTGATGATGATTGGGACGATAGAGATGCTGCAGTTATATGTAACATGCTTGGATACAAAGGGTAACATTTATAAAACAAATTATTTTTATATTCATCACATTATTTCAACAACTTCATGATGAGCATTGTAAATTTAAGCATTGAATTTCTTCCATAATTTCCTGAGAAACTGTCTTTCTCCATATTCATCTGATAGGATATAATTATTTTTTTGGAGAGTTGTTTGTTATTATCTCAGATGTCTTTAAATTATGGTCATTGTAATATGATAACCTTCTTTAAAATCTTGTTAAAATCTAATTGAAGTTGCAGCATGGCCAAGTGGTTAACATGTCAGACTAGTAATTTAAGGATTGCTGACTGCATGGGTTCAAACCCTGTCAGGGGCAAGCCATTGTTTCCTTGAGCAAGAAACTTTACATTCATTGCTTAGTACAGGTTGGTTCTAGGTACGAATTCGAGAGTGTTTCAATAAACTTATATAGCTTCCAGCACAATCAAACTAAAATAAATTTGTACAAAACTATAAACTAATCTAATTGCCAGAATGCATACAAGAGCATGTTATGATTTATGGGTGACTTTAAATTCTATGAATTGATGAAAATAGAGCACATAATTTTACAAGAGCTGTCCATATGACAGCCCACTCAACTGTCATAATGAGTTATGTCCTCTTGTTCAGAAGTGGTAAATATGATGGTCACTTATAAATATTCCCATTTTAAAGCATGAAATAAAATGGTATAGGAAATAAGCAGAGTGATACAAACAAACTGCAGGAGAATAAAAAAGGGAGAGCATAATTTTGTCAAAATCCATGACGAAGTAATGTCTAGACTTGGAGGGGAGTTGAGGGGCATGTGTTAACCAAATGTATGTGTTTACTCTTAAGATACCATTTTATTCAGAAATATTTTTTTTGGCATTTCCTTAAAACAGTGCTTTGATACAAGATTGACTGTTTTATCAACAACAACAAACAATATGTAGGCCGCCAGATTTTAGCATTGTATTTATTATACCTAATATTTTAAAAAAAAAACTAAAAATCTTTTTTCATCTTTTTAAACTAGACAAAAAAACCCGTCTTCATTCAGTTTTTAAGGGAAAAATTTTTTAAATTTTGTAGATTTTTAGTGAAAAATCAAAAACCCGAAAAGTTTCCCAAAACCCTGATCTTTTTGGGCTGCACTTGTTTTTATGGATAGGGTTACGCAGCCCCCAAGTAGGGTAAGGGGATTTCATAATAAAATTTTACTATTTCAAAGACACAAGTTGTTACATTTATTATTTTTGGAGAAATTTAAAATCGAAAAAAATTTTAAAATTTTTATTTTGGGCAGCAGTTTTGCGAGTGGGGATGCAAAAAATGGCTCTGGAAATTTGGGAACTTCTTGTTGGGGCCCAAATTTTAAATTTTGTGGGTTGAAAAAATCTATAGATGATGAAAAAAATAATGGTGGAAGGTACATACTGTAAATATATGAAGTTTCAGGAGTAAATTCAACACAAAAAAGGTAAGTAATATTTTTTTAACTATCGCCCTCCTAAAATTTTTGAAATGAAAATCGGCCTACTTTGTTTTTGGACAGTCCTTTGTTTTTTTAAAAGTTTTTATAATTTTCAATGACAATAAAATTTTACTTTTAAAATGAGTAGTAGACCTTTAATAGGTCTGGACAGACAAAATTGGTGTGTGTGTGGTTTTTGACTGGGCTGGGACACTTTGGGGGTTTAAAAAATTTGGGAAGGGCATTTTTAGGGGGAAACTGTCGAAAAAATTGAATCTTCATTTTCATTTTGTATTTGATATTACATCAATGTTAACTTCTAAACTTCAAACTTAGTTCCACTGAGACACTTTAGACAGACAAATTAATAAAAATTCAGTATTCGATACAATTCTTAGCCAGAATTGAACAAGTGTTTTTTACACTTTTTATTTTCAAGGTCATTTGGCACAATAGATATGTTATAAATAAATATGAATATGTAATTTCTTAAAGAACATTTATACATTATGCTCTATACATTTTAGCTTGTACAAGCAGTCAGTACAGCTGTAGTAATGGTCTATGTTTAGAGGCAAGCAGTGTGTGTGACGGTATTTGTCATTGTAACCCACATTGTGAGGACGAGAATGGTGATGGAGAATATAATTGCAGAAGTGAGTTCTTTTACCTGTAGTATTTTACCCTATAATTACAACCTGGTTGTACACTGGTCTAGCTAAGACAACTTGCAACATTTCTTATTCACTCATGTAATTACATGTATAACAACAAAATTCTTACCTTTTCTGTGTAAATTTTTTCTTGAGTCTGTCAAAAAAGTTTTAAAAAGATGAGTCTTCTCAAGTTCTTACTGTGTAAGAAATTACAGTGTAAATTGACAGTATTGAGTTTAATCAAGACTTAACAGATATGGTGGCAAAAAGAGTTGTTATGAAAGTTATATAAATGGTTCTGGTTTATTGCATAATGCCTTAAGTGGTCCTGTTAAGTTTTTTTTATTGCATAAATGGTTCAATTTGCTAACTAAATGTCCACAAGAGTTAAAAAGCCTCATTCCTTTACCAGTTGGTAGATTTTGATGAAACTTCATGTATACATGTAGTAATGATCATTATACAAAAATTGCCCAATTTTTTTAAAAAATTTTTTTAAACATGGAATATCCTGGTAATAAAATATAGTTCATGTGAACCATATCCTCAGGTGAGCAATTAAGGGCCATATGACATGGCGCTCTTGTTCAGTTTGAGGCTGAAAATTCTTTTAAAATAGGTCATTTTTATAAGAAAACTTCCTAAGGTGAGTGTGTAGAAAAAAAATTAAACAAAATACTCAGAGTACCGATTCCTAAAATTTTGCACAATCACTAGAAAGGTAGTCGAGGAAAGCAGTAGCCTAGTGGTTAAGGTGTGTCTTCCCCTCAACCCATCAGGCTCAATTTCCTTTCAACCCAGAGATCATGGGTTTGAGCCCTAAGTCAGGTTACGACTATATTAATACAAGTTGGAAGAACTTGTTTCAAAATAGACTCTTAAATAAATACGAGCTAGTATGTTTAAACCAAAGGAAGTTGGCTACATAAAAAGTTAAATAGAGAAGACCTTGCTTACTTTGATTGTGAATTATCTGCCCTTGCAATAAAAAATTTCCAGTTCAAAGGGAGATAACTTGAATTCAAGCTCAAAATGTTTTAGTCTCAGCATGCTTGTATGTCTGTCTGAAACTGTGGCATTTATTTATTAATATTATTTATAGGTATCTTGATTGTATATTTGCAGCCACACAGCTTCATGTTGTAAATGGTAACGTGACAGGAAGTGGACGGGTAGAGATCATTAGAAATGGTCTGAAGGGTACAGTTTGTGATGATGATTGGGACAACAACGATGCTACTGTTGTATGCAAAACATTTGGTTACAGGTATCTATAAGACAAGTTTAGATGTTTAGACTTCAACAAAATCATACCCCTGGGGTCAAAAATGGCTCCTCTCTGGGATGTACTATAACGGGATATGTCACTCGCGCTTTCTTATCAGTGCCAATGTTGGTGTCCAATTGGAATCGATCGATCGATAAGCGCCGTGTTTAAACGCCGTAATCACGGTACATGCCGGGTTGATCGGATATATTCCGTGCATAAATTTTCCGGTGATTTTGGGAGGTGGGCAATCAAAATAGTAGGAAAAAAAGTTGTTGGTTTTCATAAATACTTTTTTCATTGGATCAATTTTAAAAATATTAATATTAATAAATATGAAACAGATACAGAAAAGCAATTTACCATATTTAATTATGATATGAAAATTTACGTTTTGTAATTAAAATACGTTCAGAAATAACTTAATTAATCATTAAATTTCAATTATAGCTTTAATTACATGGTTTATATTAATTATAGAATATAATTATGTCAAATGTGTCAATAAACATAGAAATTATTTTGTATTGGGACTTATTATTTATGTAATTAAAGTGTACAGCTGCTATAAACATGTTTATAACATGTAATAATTTTTGGTTTAATAAAATGTCTGACCTTTGTTTTATTCAGGTTTGTTTTCAACATGGCCTTTGATAATCTTTGATGTTTAAACATATTTTTCACATATATTTGTAATTATGTTCTTATTTAGCTTTAATCTTCATTTTTGAATAGATTGTTTTTTTACTTCACACAATAATGCCCTTTTAAAATATGCTATTGAATGACAGTTTTAATTATAAATTTTTCATAAAAAGATAACATTTAAGAGGCAATGTTCAATGGGGGCCTCCGTGGCCGAGTGGTTAAAGTCGCTGACTTGAGATCACAGGTCCCTCACCACTGTGGGTTCGATCCTCACTCGGGTCGAAATCTTTCATGTGAGGAAGCCATCCAGCTGGCTTACGGAAGGTCGGTGGTTCTAACCAGGTGCCCGCTCGTGCCTGAAATAATGCCCGGAGGGGCACCTGGGGTCTTCCTCCACCAATAAAGCTGGAAAAAAAATCGACGAAAAATCTCGGCGGGACGCTCTAGGATGACCCGACTTGAGTGTACGGTCGCCCATATGGGCTTTCCGGCGGCGACCTTAAATAAACGCATAAAAAAAAAAAAAAAAAAGGCAATGTTCATATATGAAATTTATACATACTGATACACTGCAATATGGCATATGGAAAATCGGATTTTGTTCTCTTTGAGGATATTGATTTAGACTTTTTTCTTGGTGAATTTACAGCTAGTGAATATGAAAATTCTGATGATGAGGATAAGATAAGTGTAAAATCTAAAGATGATAAAAGAAAAACTTATGTATGTGATCAGTGTGATAAGTCATACAATTCTGTATCGGGTATAAGAGGACATTTAAGGAATAAACATGGAGTTAAGAATGTTAAAGGTTAGAAAAACTTTTTTTATGCAATGTTTCTTACTGTGGTCTTTTTCAATTGTAAATAGTATAACAACTAAGATTCATATTTGCAATGGCCACGTCATACTGGTCATCAACCTGCATACCCATTGTTAGAGTTCCAGCTTCGACCCATTTGTCATGTGACATTTCTGTATGTATATATATGCATCAGACCAGTGGACAATATATCTGTGATTTTTTATACTGAACCACTGACTTATTAAAATTCTTTTACTCGTTTATTAAAAGGCTAGGCAGCATGAAGGACTACCTAGTTGATAAAAAAAACACTTTATCAATATATTACACATTACAATTTTTTTTTAAATATTTATTTCATCTTATGAATATTAGCTGTACAAATGTAAACATAATTGGAATACAAATACAAAAAATATTGTGAAATGAACAAAGAAATACTTGACACATTGAAATCGGCACTTATAATCTACATAAATTACCAAAAAGAAGTCAAAATGTGCATGAATGGCCCCTACTGCGTTAGTAACGCAGTATAAATATGGTGATAAATACTGCAATATACCGTCATTAATTGCACATAAGATATAAATTATCACTTGAATCTTTGATCTGTTTACTTTTTCTTAAAGTTTTAGTATGTTTTTTTCCAAGTGTAATTTCTTTGAAATATTTTGGGTAATCTGGAGGCATGCGGCTTTGAAAAAATGTTTCATCAGATATATGAATGCACAAGTAGGTCCAACTTCATTTTCTCTGTGACACGAATACATATTTTAATCCTTCAATCTGAATCGACAAATTCATGGTATCTTTTGTGACCTTACACTCAGTATCTTGTTCATCATTACTGGTATTCTCAAGCAAAAAGAAATTTGTGAAGAAAGCATCTGATGGAAAGTTTTCAATCTTCGATAAACCTGCAATTGAGATTGAAATAATATTATACAAAAAATAAGGAAATAAAAGACTTTAAAAGTGCAAATAACAATTGACACCATGACAGGATATCATTCATGATATCCAATGACACAGCTAAGGAATCTATAATTTTTAATAAAGATGTTGTTTTTTTTTCTCATTCAGATAACAAATTATGGTTTTCAAAAATTAAAAGAAACCCTATACCTATTTCTAAAACATTATTTTTTCTACTTTTTATATATCAAACGACTTAACTGCAAATTCGTCAATTTATGGTTTGGTCTCAGATTTCACCAAAAAATTGTTGAAATTTGACACAGCGTAATGAAAAATCCTACAAGATAATTGATCCAATTTTATTTTCTTGCTATAGATATGTTTATGTTTTACTAAAAAATACTAACATGGGACAAATTTAATTAACATATAACGTTCATTTACGGGACAAAAAATGTACATCACGTTTGCATTCCGCCATTTTATTTTTCGGATTTTTGTCACAGTTCATAAAATTGGAACCCGTAAAATTTCATTTTATCTCACTAAATTTCCATAATCTTAACGTTAAACCAAAGATATTTAAAGGATCTATCAAAATATTCTGTCAGTTTTCTTGTAATTTACTTATTTAAACGAAGTTTTGCAGACAAAAATTACCCTTTCACGGCGATCAACACAAAACATCAGTTCGATTGAAATTTTATTCTTTCAACAGACACAGTTTTTCACATTAGATACTTTATACACCATGTTAAAAATACATCGGATCAATGTCATGATACTTACAGAATTATTTCATTTACTTTCTGGGGACTTCAACCCCATTAAGTAAACATACCGATCGATTTTCTGACCGAACATTTCCTCCGCTTTGAACTAAAATTGTAAAATGGCGGCGCTGATTCCTGATTGGACGAAAACATAAGGAGCGATAATCTCTGTGTTTCCCGTCCCCGTATCGTATGTTCCAGCTACTCTTTTGGGATCACTTTTGTAGCATAGAATTGTATTATTATGAAAAATAACATTTTAAACAGTCCCCCAAGAAACTACAAAGCTCGAGAGATAGCTTATAGATAACAAAGCTGTTTCTTTGCATATTGACTTCTTGTATTAGAGACCTGTGGTTACAGTAACTTTAGTTCTTTTTTTACTTGTGTATTCTTAAAGGTACATTAAGCCTCAGAAATAAATTTGTTTTTCTTTTTGAAGTATGGACAAACAGGTGTTTCATAATGTTGTAATAATGAATTTAGAACAATCATAATGTTGTAATAATGAATTTAGAACATTTTAGATGATTATCATCTGAAGTGAAAGCCTTGAATATGAAAGTTAATTAAGTTGCATAAAGGTAAATCAAATTGGTATTTTGTCAGTCATTCAATTTTTTTTCCATACTAAATCACTATATTATTGTACTAAGTTGCCAAAATGCAAAGAAAGCAAATTTAAAGATGGTTCATCTTTATGGCCAATGAACAACTAGGAAACTGTTATAGGACATAAAAAATAGCTTTTGAAAATATAACTATTTATTTAGGGATAATGGGCCTTAAAGTAGTAACTCAAACACTTCATATCTAATGACACAAGTTCTGCAACTTTAAATTAAAGGCCTTCTGTATAAATCATTTTTTACAAAATATTTTGTATGATTTTATTTCAAATATTGGGGAATGTTGCCTCTCTAGTTGACCTACATTTGAATTTTTGATCTAAGGGCCTCAAATTTGAAAAAAGGACAGTTCTGTTGTGGTATTGAACTTTGAAATTTTAGCCACTTATATAGTGTAGGTATATAAGAACTCAAGATTTGATTTTGAATGACCTTGACCCTGACTTCTGCATCGTAATAATTATTAACTTTTTTAGCAGCATCATGATTTAGCCAGGTGAAAAATCGAGGACCTCATGCCCTGTTGTCTTTATTAAGATTGCTAGGGCCATTTGTCTTGTTGTTTAAAAAATAAATACATTTAAAAGACTTTTGTTTATTTGATGTACAGATATGGTAAAGCTGTAACTGAAGGAGCGTATGGGGAAGGAACAGGGGCAATTTGGTTGGATGATGTTCAATGTACAGGGTTAGAAGAATCTGTATTAAACTGTGAGAAGAGTAACTGGGGAGTTACGGACTGTAGCCATGCTGAAGATGCTGGGGTCATCTGCACAAATACACCTCCCTCTTCACCAGATTGTAAGAACTAGCTTGTTTATAATGTTACAAACAGTTTAAGTTTCTCAAAATCAAGCAAAGCAATATTTTGAAAACAAGGCTTTTAACAAGGGAAACAGGTTATTTCAGTTCCTTGGTAATCAGTCTTCGGCCATTTACAATAAATTCATACATGTAGTATACACAATGTAAATAATATATGAACAAAATATATAATTACAAAGAAAAAAAAGTGAATCTTTTAAATGAATTTGCCCAAATTTGAATCTGGATCAGCCAATTTGAAAGTTATGGGATTACATTATCAAATAAAAAAATTAAATAACTAGTTGTATAAAGCCTGGTCAGATGGCACCGGATGTCCAATATTCAATCTGGGCAAAATCATTCATTATTTTTAGGGATATCTTTGAAATTATGAACAGAAGTGCAGGTCATGATCAGAATGCATGTTCGTGCTGGCTGACCTTGGTCTGCTCTCGCTGCATTGTTATATGTAGTTTCCATTGATCAATTTTGATATCAACATTACTTTAAAGTGTATAAAGCTATATTTCTGCAGCAAAAATTATTGTTTGAACTTTTAAGAAAAGAATACGTAAAAAAATACTTGTATAAAATAAATATGGCAACAAAATGCCTTAAAAAATTTGCGCAGTCTGATCAGGATCCATGCTGTTTGCTTACAAACCCTATTACAAGTAGAGAAACTGATAGCGAACAGCATGGATCCTAATCAGACTGCACGGATGCGCAGGCTGTTCTGGATCCATGCTGGTCGCAAACGCATTATGTTAGTTTTGTTATGGCGCGGCTCATATATATATTTATGATTTATCAGACAGTGGACAATCATTAGAGATTGTATTAGAAGATGGTAATACAGAAAATGAAGGTCGTGTAGAGGTGATTTACAATGGCAAGAGGGGAACTGTTTGTGACGACAAATGGGATGATAATGATGCAACAGTTGTCTGTAAAATGTTAGGATACAGGTAGGAATTGGAAACAGTAATATTTACTGAAATGGTATAAACTTGAGACATTCTAGGTAAAAAAAAAATCTGGGGGAGCATGCCCTGCCCCTTAAACCCCAACACGCCTCGGTAAAAAAAAATTTGGTCTGGCTACGCCATGGTGTAGCATTATATATAGGATAAATAACAACTGATCATCACAGGTATGGTGTTGCCCGAATTGAAACATAATAATTATATATGATAGAGGTTTAAATTTTATCATCACATGTATGTTGTTGCCTGTATTGAAACATAATAAATATATGTGATAAAAGTCCTAATTTATCAACACAGGTATAGTTTTGCCTGTATTGAAGCAATATTTATAAGGTAAAGGTCCTAAATTCACCATTGCCTGTATTTAAGGTTTAAACTATGTATCAGATAAAGGTCCTAAATTTATCATCAGAGGTATGGTGTTGCCTGTATTGAAGCAATATTTATCAGATAAAGGTTCTAAATTTATCATCAAAAGTATGGTGTTGCTTGTATTGTAGCAATATATATAACAGATAAAGGTCCTAAATTTATCATCACAGGTATGGTGTTTTCCGTATCGGAGCATTATTATTACATTTATTATATATGATAAAAATCCTAATTTTATCATCACAGGTATGGCCTGGCCTGTATTGAAGCATTATATATATCAGATAAAGGTCCTAATTTTATCATCACAGGTATGGCCTGGCCTGTATTGAAGTATTATATATATCAGATAAAGGTCCTAATTTTATCATCACAGGTATGGCCTGGCCTGTATTGAAGCATTATATGTAGCAGATAAAGGTCCTAATTTTATCATCACAGGTATGGTGTGGCCCGTATTGAAGCAATATATATAACAGATAAAGGTCCTAATTTTATCATCATTATAGGTACTGTGTATGGTGTTTCCCAAATTGAAACGTAATTATTATAAATGATAAAGGTCCTAAGTTTATCATCACATGTATGGCCTGGCCTGTATTGAAGCATTATATATATCAGATAAAGGTCCTAATTTTATCATCACAGGTATGGTGTGGCCCGTATTGAAGCTATATATATAACAGATAAAGGTCCTAATTTTATCATCATTATAGGTACTGTGCATAGTGTTGCCCGAATTGAAACATAATAATTATAAATGATAAAGGTCCTAATTTTATCATCACAGGTATGATCTGGCCTGTATTGAAGCATAATATATATATCAGATAAAGGTCCTAATTTTATCATCACAGGTATGGTGTTGCTCGTATTGAAGCACATTATGGGCCAGGCAGTGACAGATTAACTGTGATGCTGGATGATGTGGAATGTATAGGGACAGAATCTTCACTATTAGCTTGCACGCATGCTGGATGGGGTATCAGTGACTGTGGTCATGGAGAAGATGCCGGTGTTAAATGTTACGGGCTAGAAGATGATGGGGATCAGATAGATACTGGTGATTCTGATGAACTCAGTGGTTTTAAATGTGGTATGTCTTATGTGTTTTTGTTATCCCCCACTGATTAAATCAAGAGGGAGATACTGTTTTGGTATTGTTCAACTTATCTTTGGAGCTAATAATATTTTGATACTTTTGTGGCTACAGAATGAGGTAAATGTACTTTTTCTTTGTGCTGTAGCCTTATTACTATCAAAATTTTAGCTTGGAAGATGGACAGCTGGTCAACGCCAAAACAATAGGTGAAATACTTTTTCTTTGGCCCTTAATGGCTGAAGGTTTGCTTTTAACGGTTGAGGCATAAGAAAATACAGCCACTGTTTATACCTGCATGATCTTAAGATGCGGCTAAATGGGTTTGAATGTTTGAGTTTAAGGATCATTCTCTTGAAACTTGAAACTTTTTATTTAATTAAACACCTGTTTCTATTTAACAATATTCAACGGCGTTGTACAGTACGTATAAATAATAAGAATAAAATTGTGAATGCATAAGAATATGTGGATCAACATCAAGTGAAATAAAAGCTTTTACATACAATTCCAATTAACATATTTTTAAAAAATTGCAGAGACCATAAAATGATAAAACTGATTGATATACATGTAGCATGAGATAAGATTATGTACATACATGTAACTTGATTACAAATAGATTAAAAAGAATAAAACATTCATCTACATTGCACATTCATCACACTGTCAGTCATCAGTTATACGTTACTCATGTTTATCTCATTTCAGATTTTAAAATAGTGATTCAAACTTTCTGAAAAAATGTGTTTTAAGATTTCTCTTAAATACATCAATATTCTTAGATTGTTTCAACTCTAATGGCAGCGGATTCCACAATTTTGGACCAATAGTTCCGAAACTTCTGTCACTAAATGTTTTTCTTTTATTGAATGGAATAACGTAGCAGTTCTCAGAGGTTTTAGCTGAACGTAGTCGGGTATTTGGTACTTGTTTGGTTAGGAGTTCAGAAAGGTATTTTGGAGCATGACTGATTGAACAATTGTATATAAAAGTCAAAATTTTATATTTGATTCTAGATTTGATGGGCAGCCAGTGAAGGTCGAACAGTGCTTGCCTTGAACTGTCAAATTTCTTTCGTTGCAGAACTAACTTAGCGCACATGTTTTGAATACGTTGCATTTTTTTCAATTCAAAATCGGATACACCATAAAGAATGACATTGCAATAATCCAAGTGTGACATTACGAGTGCTATAACTAAGTATTTCAGCTGCTTCTTTGGTGAGGTATTTTCGGATACGTTTTATTCTAAGATAGTTTAACATTGCAGTACGGCACTTTCGTTTGACATGTTCCTTGAAATTTAGTGTTTGGTCTAGAAATGCGCCTAAATATCTAATGGACTCCTCGGAGTTGATCTTATCTCCGTTAATACAAATGGATTTTAGGTGACAGTCTTTTCGAGTTGTTGAGAACTTCCAAATGTTATGAATTCTGTTTTCGATGAGTTCATCTTGAGTTTATTAGCATTCATCCAGTTGTTGATATCAATCGCACCATTTTCTAATTCAGCGATTGCAGAAATTTCACTATTTTCTTCAGTCGGTTTAAAACGTTTGGTTGCAGTATGGTCATCAGCGAATCTATACACCGATAATCCAGATGGAATCACGTCAAACAAGGTTACCGCATACGTTAGGTAGAGCCAAGACCCTAAACAACTACCCTGGGGGACACTGCACTCTAGTTGCCGTGGAGCTGAGACTGCCGAGTTGACACACATGCGACAGCCCCTAGGACGAAGGCATGAATCAAGCCAGCTGAGCACTGAACCGCTCACGCCGTACTGCTTCTGTAGCACGTCGACGAGTATATCATGATCCACAGTGTCGAACGCGGCACTGAGATCAATCGCGATTAGCGCTGTAACTTCTTGTTTTTCCATGGCTGCCAACAGATCATTTACTAATCGCAGTAGAGCAGATTCACAGGAGTGGTATTTTCTGTAGGCGGATTGATTTGTAGGTAGTAAGTCATACTGATCAGCATGTTTATTTAGTATTTTCAGAGCTGCTTTTTCAATCAGTTTTGATAAAAACGATAGATTACTCACAGGTCTATAATTTGAGAATACAAGTTCAAGTCCAATTTTCTTCAAAAGTGGTCTCACAATAGCCTCTTTCCATTTATTGGAAATATTCCTTGCTGTTAGTGATAAAGTTACCAGTTTTGTTATAATTGGGAGTAGTTCTCCAAGGAATAGTTTTAATATTTGCTGTTGGTAATATGTCCAATTCACAAGATTTTGTCTGTAGTTCATTTATCAGCTCTTTAACATTATCATTTGAAAATTCATCAAAGGCAAGAAGAGATGGAACGTTTCTAGTATTTGGCTCGAATTTATCAAATGGTTTCAGGTCATCACGTATTTTCTCTATTTTATTTCATGAAAAATGAGGCAAAGTGTTCGGAGTGCTCACTATCACTGTACCCAGGTGGCATTGGGTTTTCTGATTTAGTTCCTGTTTAACTCAGACACTAACTGGTACAGCTTCTTGAATCACCCTTTGTATTAGTTACTTTTTCACTTATTACTTTTGTTTTCTCTTTTTCGAGTTCATCATTGTACTGGTTCCGAGACTTTTTGAATGATTCATATTGTTGAGGTTGACGATATTTCTCCATATTTTTCAGCTTTCCGAGTCGATGTTTTAAGGGTGAGAATTTCCGGAGTGAACCATGGTTTTAGGGGCTCTAATTACTTTGTTATCTCTTTTTCAGGTGCATGAGTGTCCAGAACGTTCTTTATTTTATTTTCAAACTCATTCACGTATAGATTAATATCACTCTGATCTATTGTAATTTCACTGAACTCTTTTCTAACAGATGACTCGTCCATATTTTTAAAGTTTCTAAATTTGACTGACTTACTGATTATGTTTTCTTTTTGAACATTCATAACACATTTTATTGCTCGATGATCAGACACATAATCACCAGGTTCACATGCCACAATTTCAACCCCATTGACTGCTTCCGTAGCTGCTTCTCTTAAATTAGCTCCAGCAGGTGAGGTGGTTTTGACCCTTGGTGTTGCGCACACCAGAGGTTAGCCCAAATTCAGCACTAAATGACCTATACTGTGTTGGTGTGCTGTAAACAAAACAAACCTAGCAAATCAAAAAATAAAAAAACTCATTCATTCCATTAGCTTTTATGTTGCCATTTGCCTTTATGTGGCTAAGAAGAACAATAGAAAGAACAGTGGAGTAGCCACATATGTATCCTCTTGCTAGGATGTAGAATTCTAATCATTGCATACATTTCATTGACTTCATTTTCTTTGTAGGCCAATCGCTTGATAGCCTTTAAAAAGTTACAGCTTGTAGAATGGTAAATTCCATTTGAGACCCACGACCTGTGAAAAAATGGAGTATAAAAAAAAAAACAACATTGTTGGTGAATTCTTGCCTATTAAATATATTTTCAGGGCTACGACCTCTAGAAAGTAAATCTAGAAAGAAACGAGAGGAACCAGATGGCCGAGGGGAAGCTGTACTTGGTGACCCTGTAAAATTTGCGAGAATTATTGGAGGATTTACTGCTACTCATGGGTTTTATCCATGGCAAGTGGGTGTGAGAAGATTGATCTCAGATGGTCAACATAGCCACTGGTGTGGGGGGACAATTCTCAGCGAGCATTGGATTCTCAGTGCTGCTCATTGTTTCACGTAATCTTTTGATATTCATGACAATTTGATTATGGAAACCTTTATGTGCATGTTATTCTAATTGTCTATATAATATCAATGTTCCTGGTAGATTGTTATACATACATAATATTGTAGTGATTGTACACCCGTGATGTGTAATCCTTGGGGCCTCTGTAGCAAAAAGGCTAAGGTTGCCATCTTTGCTGTTGTGGATTCCAATCCCGTCTAGAACTGAGGACAGTGGTTCCCAGCAATAAAGATTGAAAATCGTCGTATGACCTTTACACTGTGTGTGTTTTTGTGTGTTTTCTGTTATATAGATTATATAGAGAAGTCTTCTCCTTAAAAACCACAACTCTAATTTTAACCAAACTTGCCAAGATTGTTCCTCAGGTGAAGGGCTTGAAAATTTGTTAAGAAAATTTGATTCCATGAGGAAATATGGTTGCCATGGCAACCGAAAGGAATATAAGAAAGAATTTTTAAAAAAATCTGCTCTAGAATTAAAAGGCCTAGAGCATAAATATTTTGCACAAGGCATTGTCTTATGGACCTCTGCAAAGATTATTAAAATCATAGCCCTGGGGTTAAAATTGGCCCCATCCCGAGGGTAATGTGTTTACCTTAGGGTAATATGTTTTCCTTATATGTATATAAAAAAAGTTAAAAAAATCTTTTTCTGCAAAACAACAAAGCTACAGCTAACATTGTCTAGTGATCAAATTATAGCTTTGCAAAATTGGGTCTGCCACGGCATGGCTTTTATTCAAATCGTTCCCTTTCCTACAAAATAGTCCAGCTCACACATTAAATACTGAAAGGGAAACAATTCACATTGATTGTTTTATTACACATATGTGCATGTTATACAATTTTTCTAAAAAAAAAAAGATTCAATAGCTGGGAGTTTGTCTACATGTACTGTAAAGGTCATGACTTCTAGCAAGAGAGATATTTGCTTTTCAGGGATATTTATAAAATAATTTGAGCACATTATGTGGACATTGTTATTCATACCATGTATACCTATCTAAAGTTTTAAAAGCTATGTAAGCATCTAAAAAATTTTATCAGTATACTTTTATTTTGAACTATATGGCCTTTGTACAATCTGACCATGAACCCCAAAATTCACTAGACACTACTGTATTATGGCAAAGATCAATATATTTTCGTGTATATAATAAATTTTTTTTTTTTACAAATTTCAGAGAACTAAGCAAGGGCCATGTATTGGTAAGAACTGGAGATCATGATAACAAGGTTGAGGATGAATTTGAACAAGAATTTGCGCTGGAGCAAATGATCAGTCACGTCCTTTATGATGGTAGGTATAATGTTGTGTAGGCATATGTACAATACACATACACCTCTACCTGCCCCTGTCAAAACAGCACGTCATATTATTATTTCTGTACATGGAAAAGATTTCAAAAAACAAACAAAAAATAATCAGCTTTGAGAGAAAAAAACAAGCATCCCTAATGGTTTCTTTTGAATGCTGCAATGTAGCAACTCAAAGAGCAGACCTGCCATTTTTCCATTACAGTATTTTGATATTTAAAGAGACTCCACTGAGGTTATATTGATAAACTTTGAAAATCTTACATAGATCAACTGGGACATTTTATGGGGAAAAACATGAGATTATATAGAGGATATTTGTTTAGTTCAGTGTAAGATCGGAATATATTTCACCGAGTGAGCACCAAAAGGTATATTTCACGAGTGGCGCAGCCACGAGTGAAATATGAACTTTTGGTGTTCACAAGGTGAAATATATTTCGATCTTACACTAAACTAAACAAATTTTCTTTTTATTATATGCAAAGAAATGCTTAAAAAGACATTAAACCTAATACTGAATGAAAAGCGCGCCAAATAGTAATACAACGTGACGTCATTTACGACGTCACGTCATTAATTTGGTACCCAGTACTGTGCACGCTGGTATTTCACTGAAACAACGTTAGGGGCTTAAATTCAAAACAGTGAAATTATCAAAGTGGTAATTTCACTGTTTCAAACAGTGAAATTACCAGTTTTATATCACTGATATATTTCTATAAACCACTGAAAAGCATGTAATAAAAAGAAATAAACACGGAATTAAATTGAAAATCAATATTCGGGTGTTTTTCAAGTCTTGTTTCAAGTTGAGTTGATTTTTGATACAGTCTATTATGATAATGTTACACAACTTAAATATGATATAATCTGTTATGATAAATTTTACAGACAACAACTATAACTATGATATAGCATTACTGAAGATTAAACGAAAGGATGGATCTGGTATCAAGTTTACTGATCATGTACAGCCAGCATGTCTACCAGAGCAGACGACAGAATATATAAGTGGGCAAAAATGTCATGTATCAGGATGGGGGCAGACAGAAAATGGTTTGTATTTCAATAAACTTTCATGTACCTTTCTTACAGTTGTTTGATTTTTTTTTAAAGAGCCTTTCAGAATAGATTATTGTTTGTATTGTTTTATGAATATGGACAGTAGATAGATAAATCTTTTCCCCATCATGTAACAGACAAAATTAAGCACTGAATGCAGTGTTAACACTCGTCTGTTAGGGGCTATGACCAATTTCGACCAAAAAAAAATTTGGGGTTCATAACTTAAAAAATATAGCTTTTAGAATATATAATTCCTTTGTCTTACAAGTTACAACTGTTTGTGGTCATGATATTAACAAGTATTCCAAGTTCGGTGACAACACTGGATAAATTGTTTGAAAAATGGGCTACAGTGAAGGTTTTTGCACAATGAATTTGCCGACACAACTATCAGAATAGCTCATCCTTTTGTTAAACTGTACATCAGGTTATTTAATGTTTTGAGAAAGAATGAGGCAAGAGGACAGTACTTTGAACTCGGTACTTGAATATATCAATATTGTTCACCTCATGTTCTTCTCATTTATCAGTTTTTGTTAAACTCGTGTTCTTTCGAAATAAAGTCATTAGCAGTAAAGAAATGAATGACAGAGTTGATAAATACATAGTATCAAATGACTCTACACACAGAGAAGGGTTTACATGAAATATGATTTACATGAAAACAAGAAAAAATTTTGTATAAAAACTTGTGTCTGTGTATATTTCTTTTTACAAAATAATGTTTGTATTGTTAATGTCTAACAACTAATTTAATTTCTTATCCACAGGCTATCAAAATTTACTGAAGTCTGCTAAAGTTCCTATAATAAGTGATCAAACTTGCAAGTTATTGTACAAAGACTTAATTAACTGTGACAAGAAATGTTTGTGCCGGGTACTTTAACTGGTGGGAGTAGATTTAACTTGATCGGCGACCCGCGGACCCTCATTGTCTGTGATGTTAATGGACGACAACAGGATGGGACTACCATCATGGGAGTCAGGATGGCGAAGCCAACAACCCAGGGTTACACAAGTTACAGAGTTTTTTTACATGGAATAAATCAACATCAAAGCAAATACTGCATAGTAAAGGCTTTTAACAAGACTTTCTGTTTGTATTAATTGACAGTTATGTCCTATAACCAACATTTCAGTCAATATGTGTATGTTAGTGTTAATCCATGCTGTTCTACAGAAATTAGAAACTTCGACAGGGGGCGAAAGCGACCTGAGAATGTTTCTAATTTCTGTTTTTGTTTTGGGTTTTACGTCACATCGACACAGTATAGGTCATATCGCGCATTCCAGCTTTACTGGTGAAGGAAGACCTCAGGTGCCCTTCCGTGCATTATTTCAGGCATGAACGGGTACCTGAGTAGAACCACCGACGTTCCGTGAGCTAGCTGGATAGCTTCCTCACATGAAAGAATTTCTAATTTCTGTAGAACAGCTCTGGATGAATAAAACAGCATAGTGACTTAATAAAGTGAATAAAGCTGGACACTACAAACACAGCGCTTTCATTGAATGACATATAAAGCTGGACACTTAATACAAATTCTCCCCTTGATAAAGATTTAAATAAATGTATTATTATTAATTTAAATCTCATATTGCCATTCATATTCCTTTATAAAAACATTGTACTACTTTTATTTTCAGATTGACGAACACCATGTGGAACCACTAGTATTACAAGAAATATAAATATGTAGACTTTACTGAAGTACATAAAATGTTTTCTTTGCATTTTCAATGTTTCTATGTACATTTTTATTTCTTATGTTAATATGCTGCTGGGTAGTTCATGTATATGAATATTGTATCAATATCTTTTTTACACAGCATAATAAATTTTGTGAAAATACTTAAGACTTAAAATTTCTATTTTTATTCATTTCTCAAAAACCTGTTTATGTTAGTGTTGTTTCCCCTACTACAACTTAATGACCACTCCACATCAAGTTTTAAGTAATATTAACACTGTTAAGGTCATATGCTAAACTAATTTTACTGGTGGAAGAAGACCTAAGGTGCAATTCTGAGTAAATGCACAAGCTGGCACTTGAGTAAAACTCCAACTTTCCATTAATCCAGCGGGGTAACTTCCTCACATGGAAGAATCAGAAGACTATGAAAGGATTAAACCCGTTAGTGGTGATTGGCCACTGATTCAAGCCAGCAACCTAAACCCTCAAAGGCTCTCAAAAACAAAATAAAGACTGAGAATCGATTATCACTTTCATTGTTTGCAAATCATTTTAAAAACATACACAATGCTTAATTCTATTGATGATAATCATGATTATATTACAAAGAATTCATTCGTGATACACGATTTTAAATATAATTTCTACAATATTACATATTATAAAAAAAAAATCACTTATAGCAAAAGCACTTGTATTCTATATTCAAACGTCAGTATGTTGACAGCTCTTTGTCAAGAACTTCTTCATGATTATATACATCCAATAATACATATGAATGGTCCTTATGAATGTTAAACAAATGATAATGAATGTCTGCCAGAATTCTTGCTCTCACACTTTGATGTCCAGCGCCATGTCCAAAAACTGTAACGAAGAACGAGTCGTAAAGTGTCATCATACACTGTCGCACCAAATCACAATGTAACAACATCTAATACAATATCAATATTCATTAAGTTATGTTGCTCCCTGAATTAAAGTTGTGTCCAAAACCATTTCTAAAAACTGCAAAGAAAGTATAACCTTAGATTCGCAGTTCTTCAGGTTCACCACACACACTTAATATTGAAATTTGTTACCCACAAGCCACACACACTTAATATTGAAATTTTTGTTACCTACACACTTCACAAACTTTAAATATTAAAATTTGTTACCCATTTACCATACACTTTTAATATTGAAATAACATTGTTTTACATTGTACAATATTGTTGTGTTTTTGTAAAACAAGAGGTCGCTCACCTGAACATAGGCCCCCAGGGCCGGGCAAGTTTAAACGAAAGGGCTTTTATTTGAACAAACTTGGAAGACACCCATTAGAAGATATTTCATGATGTTAAGTCTTTACTATACACAAATAATGAATAAAAATGACTTCCCCCCCCTCCCCCTGGCATGGCCAACTTTAACCCAAGGGCTTTTGTTTATTTGAACAAACTTGGTAGACACCCATTAGAACATGTTTTCATGCTAAATATCTTAGCTCTAGCTCTTTGGGTTCTTTAAAAGAAAGATTTTTAAGTATTTAATTACTACAATGCAATATAGGGAAAATCAATGACCCCCTAGGGCGGGGCCATTTTTGACCCAAGGCTTTTATTTGAACAAACTTGGTAAACATCCATTAGAACATGTTTCATGCTAAATATCTTAGCTCTAGCTCTTTGGGTTCTTTAATAGAAGATTTTTTAACTTTTTACGCTATGTATATTAGGGAAAATCAATGACCCCTGGGACGGGGCCAATTTTGACCCCAGGGCTTTTATTTGAACAAATTTGGTAGACACCCATTAGAACATGTTTCATGCTAAATATCTTAGCTCTAGCTCTTTGGGTTCTTTAAAAGAATTTTTTTTGAAGTTTTTACTATATGCATATAGGAAAATCAATGACCCCCTGGGCGGGGGCCTATTTTGACCCCAGGGCTTTTATTTGAACAATCTTGGTAGACACTGATAAGAAGATGTTTCATGCTTAATATCTTAGCTCTAGCTTTTTGGGTTCTTTAAGAGAAGATTTTTTAAAGTTTTTACTATATGCATATAGGCAAAATCAATAACCCTTGGGGCTGGGCCAATTTTGACCCCAGGGCTTTTATTTGAACAAACTTGGTAGACATCCATTAGAACATGTTTAACGCCAAATATCTAAGCTCTAGCTCTCTTTGTTTTTTAGAAGAAGATTTTTTAAAGTTTTTACTATATGCATATAGGGAAAATCAATGACCCCCTGTGGCGGGGCCAATTTTAACCCCAGGGCTTTTATTTGAACAATCTTGGTAGACACTAATTAGAAGATGTTTCATGCTTAATATCTTAGGTCTAGCTCTTTGGGTTCTTTAAAAGAAGATTTTTTTAAGTTTTTTACTATATGCATATAGAGAAAATCAATGACCCCCTGGGGCGGGGCCAATTTTGACCCCAGGGCTTTTATTTGAACAAACTTGGTAGACATCCATTAGAAACATGTTTCATGCCAAATATCTAAGCTCTAGCTCTTTGGGTTTTTTAGAAGAAGATTTTTTTAAAGTTTTTACTATATGCATATAAGGAAAATCAATGACCCCCTGGGGCGGGGCCAATTTTGACCCCAGGGCTTTTATTTGAACAATCTTGGTAGACACTTATTAGAAGATGTTTCATGCTTAATATCTTAGGTCTAGCTCTTTGGGTTCTTTAAAAGAAGATGTTTTTAAGTTTTTACTATATGCATATAGGGAAAATCAATGACCCCCTGGGGCGGGGCCAATTTTAACCCCCGGGCTTTTATTTGAACAAACTTGGTAGACATCCATTAGAACATGTTTCATGCCAAATATCTAAGCTCTAGCTCTTTGGGTTTTTTAGAAGAAGATTTTTTCAAGTTTTTACTATATGCATATAGGGAAAATCAATGACCCCCTGGGGCGGGGCCAATTTTGACCCCAGGGCTTTTATTTGAACAATCTTGGTAGACACTCACTAGAAGATGTTTCATGCCAAATATCTAAGCTCTAGCTCTTTGGGTTTTCTAGAAGAAGATGTTTAAAGTTTTTTTCTTTTGGTTGCCATGGCAACCAGAGTTCTGCATGGAATGGAATTCTTTGAACAACTTTGTTAAGGCTTCACACAAGGAACATCCCTGTGAAGTTTCATTATGATTCTGCCTTATGGTTTCAGAGGAGATGTCGTTTGAAAAGTGTGAACGGAAAACGTACGACGGACGACAGACGACGGACGAAGAGTGATCCTAATAGCTCACCCTGAGCATATGCTCAGGTGAGCTAAAAAAACAAAACAACAAGTAATCATTTACTGTACCAAACATTTGTAAATTTTAGATATTAGCAGGGATATTACCATCAAATTCGCTACTTATTTCATAGGGTTGAAAGAAAATGTTACAAATGGCTGGTACAGTAACTACAACGGTTCTAAAGAGAAACTCGTACATATTAATTTTAACAAAATTTTGCAACAACTTAACTTTTTGAAATCAGAAAAAACATAATGTATAAAACAAATTCCAATAAAAAGCAAAATACAAAGGCTTTCCAGTTTTATCAATTAAACAAAGATGAAGTGTGTATAAAAGTTACATTACCTCTTCGTAACTTATTCTGACGGTTCCATTTTGCTGATGATCTTTTGACCGGAATTTATCTGTTAATGTTTTTAACATCACACATGCTTGAATAAAGTCATCAAACTGAATGTTTCTGGCACCTTTTCTGTCAAAAACTCTTATCACAAGATCACAAAACTGTGGAGATCTGCAAGTAAATATATAATTACAGTTTTAACTATATGCTGCCAGTCAAGATAACATTGATCCAATATAACTATATGGCACACAGCTGTAATGAATATTTCCATTGTCATTAACATTCCAAAGTTAATGTAAGCATAACACATTATAGGGTAGAGAAGAATAATAATATCTGTCATATTTTGCGGTTCGGATCAGAATATCCGTCCCGAGGTGTGCCGCCCATGGGCGGGTCACCGAGGGACGGATATTCCGATCCGAACCGCAAACATATGTCAGATATTTTTTCTTGCATATTCTACCATATTCCATTATATTTTAAATTCTTTATCTTTATTTTCAATGAAAATTTATATCATTACAACCGTAACTACTTTCATTCAACCGCGTATGAATTACAAAATCATTCATAACGGTAAAATGACGTCATCTTTATCGTGCCATTGTACAGCACGCGACTCATCTGGAACCCCCCATGCCAGATGAAATTTCCGGCATGGGTTAAACTAACGGAAACGCCAGTCTGATATGCAAGAAAGTTACATATAATTTTCCAAGTTATCCAGCTAGAGGTGTAAAAGACTATCTGTCCTGGTTCACAACGTGTCCAGAGTTTGATTCCCGGACACTGCTGGATTATTTCTAACCTGTTAGATACAGTTGAAAGTTAAAACAACATAGACATAACCTATATGCATTACCGTACATTTAGCTATGCACAGCCCAGTTGTTGTTTTTTAAATGTGGTACAAATAATTATCATGGTATAATAGCAATTATTATTCTGTAATTTAGATGCATCTTTTATTAACCAGTAATCTGGTATCACCTATCTTCTGTGCAAAAAAGCAGTAAGGACATTACATTTTCCCAAAAAGAGTAATGGTTAAGTCTGTGCGCTCTAAAATTTGATATAATGTATGCTTATACATTTCAATATGCACTAAAAAAAGGCGTCCTGTTAGCTCAATAGAGCGTTGGCTTGTGAATTAGGCGGCCCTGGTTCAATTTCTTGGCGGTACAAGTCACTTTTGTTATGAGGATCATGAAATCTTTACTACTGTCATTCACACTGTACTTCTTCTCTTGCATGTACAGAAGTTTCAGTTCCTTGGGAAAGTGGAGGCAACTAGTACTGGTAAACTGCTTGACAGCCTGCCCAGGAACGATGTGGTAGTTGAACTGTGCTCTGGTAAATTCAATGTGGCTTACAGACGTGATCTGGAGTGAAAACTACCAACACCACCACCGATATGCACTTATTTACCAGACTACATTAGTGCCTCAAACATGAAGTAAGTAACTAGAAAACATAGGTACATCCAAATCCAGCCAAAATATATCTTTAGCATGACCCTAATTAAATACCAAATGGTCTCAATATAACACAATACATGTACATGTACTTACAAACTATAACCAAAGGATTGGAATGCTGTATGTATTTCTCTAGCATCAATGTTTCCTGATCGATCAGTATCAAATCTAGAAAAGAAATACAAGTAAATGTATCTAAAAAGTTGTAGCATATTGACCTGAAGGTCATGGACTAGAAAATTTATATATTTATCATGGACTTAAAATTACACATTTTAACCAATCTGATCTTATGTATATACAAAGACAAATTTCCAAGAATTTAACAGTGTTTACACTTGGATTTTGACAAAACTTAATCTTTCTGAAAGTTAAAAATATTTACTACCATGAATAAATAAACAAGACTGTTATAATTTATTTCATGATAATGTAAAATGAACTTGAAAAACTGCAGTCACATACTGAAAGTAATTCATTTTTGGACACAAATAGCATTTAAGTAAAGTTAAGTCAAACAACATGTTCAATTGCTTTTTAATACTTTATGCCAAGTTAAAACAATATTTAGTGACTTAGTCAAGTTACATGGTGAATTATTTTTAAACTTTACCTGTCGAAACATGATTTCCAATCTTGGATATATTTCCATAAAGCAGAAAATTCATGTACATCTATTGTTCCGTTCCTGAAACAAAATAAATTATATATAATGTTCAGATAACATTGTGATTGCAGTAAACAATATTCAGTTCCTATAATTATTTTCCCCAGACATAATTAGAGTAGTTATCATAGTAAATGTCACATACACAATATACAAAAGTTTCAATGTATATTTACTTGTGTTTTCATAAATATCAAAATTGCCTACATTTCAAAGCATATACAGCAATCTCAAGCTTAGTTGTCAAATCTCAATGGAAACAAAAAACTGCTTCGTGTTGTGTGAATCATCATTCAAACCGGACATTGATTATATTACAATGCTTAATTTCTAAATGCTAACATTTTTTTGTTATGTCTTTCTACCTTAAAACTTAACAAACAAACAAGTCTTTTCTTTGCCATTAAGTTTGGTTCTATTGACTTCACAATTTTCTATGTTACTGCTAAAGAATGACTGATTTTGCAGATAATGACATCATTTTGTTTAAAAATATTTATTTCCCGAATATATACATTTACATATACACACATATTCAATACAAATCAAACATTTTTATATTCAAGAATATGATTAAAATAAAAGACTTAGTCTACTAAAATTCTTCTCCTACTAAAATTCTTCTTCTTTTAATTTATTTCTATAATGTGTCGAGTTTTGTTCTATATCAAAAAGTATGACAAATCGGGAATATAAATATTTTGGAAAAAATAAAGATGCGAAAATGTGTAACAAGTAAGAAACTATATAGCAATCAAAAAATTACCAAAAAGTACTGATTAAATGTAGAGTTGTAGCTAACAAAACATAATTGAGTAGCAAATTTGGTCTACTTAAGAGAAAGAGTGTCTCACATACTACATACTCCATTTAACCCTAGATCTACTGAATTTGTACAATTGATATGCCGAGCTTTGAATTGTAAATGGCAATTCAATCTTTTATAGATTTCAATATCAAAATACAAAAATTAAGCTGCAAACAGTACACTAAGTAAAGGCCTGGCCAGATTGCAGACTGGCCTTGCTCTGTACTGGCGACAAAGGCCCACCACTTTCTGTTCCAGTAAGTTAAGGCCCATCACTTTCTGTTCCATTTATTATTTTGTCAATGACAGATGTGAATCCTACAAATAATGGCTAAATGATTAGACAAACTTTCAATTTCTTGCCTCATTTTGCTTTAAGTTCAAATCCTGCAAAGTGTTTTGCATTCTCATATGTGAAGAAGCCATACAGCCAGGTAGCTAAAGGTTATATGTTTTTATCATATACATAGTTTTGGTGAAATAATTCATTTAGTGGTATCTTGGGTCTTCCACCACAAGTAAAGCTGGCAAGTCATCTTATGACCTTAATAGTTTTAAGTCCGACTTTAAACCCAACCCATCTTAATGTAAATTGAAGCTACATTCTGTAATTTAAAAGTAATGCAATGAAAGACTTAGATATTTTTTTCAAATTTATTTAGATACAATGTTCCTCCAATTATTCAATGTTAATTTACATGGTTTCATGACATAAATTCATTTTAGAATTTAAAATGACAAAATTACTTTTTGTATTTAGATTGACATTCATTTTTTGTCTTCAAGATTGACATTTACATGTATTTTTAAAGATCACATTTTCTTTAATAGGCATTTTAATAGAAGATGTAACAAAATGAAAATTACATGAGCAATCAGTATTGGTGGTTGGAGTCTATAGTGCAGCTTGCTCTCACTATGTAAAGTTGTATCCACACATTATCTGCTCAAGAATACAATCAATCGGAAAAGCATTTTTTAATATTTCATAGATATATTTGACTAACCTGTCTTTATCAAACATGCCTATCATCAACCTACAAGTCTCGGGATTAAACGGAGACCAGTTACCATTGTGAAGTGCTTGTCTTAACTCATCTGCAGTAATTTTACCACTTCTGTCTGTATCTACAGTCTAAAATACACATACAAAGCCATACACACATAATAAAAACTCTTCTTATTGAATAAGAAACAATCACTGTGATTTTATACTAATATAGCAAATATCCAAAGAGATTTTTGCTGTAAAAATAATTTTAAATGTTAGCTATTATAAAGAATTACCTGTACAGATTTCTTCTTTCCATTTTGATATATACACATTCACAAAAGGCTTCGGATAACACTTTATAACAGTATATGGAAAGGATCATTTTTACGACCCATCTGGTTATTTCTCATATATAAACCCTTTTTCCTTTTACACAGAAATCTTGTGTTGGTTTCATTTCCTTTTAAAGTGTAAATTGATCATCTTAAATATTGTTTTACTTTCATAAAGTGAGAAAGTATATAATGATTATTTATAGTTTTATATCATGGCATTTAAAACCAACATGTAATAATGAAAAGTTACCTGAAACCATCCCCATAATTCTGGGCTGACGCCAGGAGGGGCTTGTTGTCCACCAAACCCACCCATCCCTTGTTGCCCATACTGTTGCTGTTGATATCCACCATACTGCTGCTGTTGTCCATAAGCTGGAGGTTGTCCTCCATATCCCTGACCAGGAGGAGGAGCTCCTGGTGCACCATACTGACCAGGAGGAGGAGCTCCTGGTGCACCGTACTGACCTGGTGGAGGAGCTCCATACTGCCCTCTAGGAGGCTGTCCTGGGGCACCATATTGACCTGGGGGCCCTTGCTGTGGTTGGCCATATTGGCCAGGTTGTCCATAGCCTTGAGATGGTGGCTGCCCATATCCACCATACATTTGATTAGCAGGAGGAGCACCGGGCTGCTGGTACCCTTGAGGTGCTCCATATCCTCCCTATAGTGAAGTAAATAAATATTATTATTTAATCAAGGTATACACTTTATTATTAAATATCAGGGATTTTGACTTTCATACCAGCAAATGCTTAGTAAAATCCCTGTCATGTGTGCACATGTAAATTGTAAAATCGAATGATAAATCCCTGCAAAAGACCTTTGGCATTGCAGCAATGTCCCAGCAAATGCAATTTTAAAAGACTCAATGCATCAAAAGTACATACATTTTACCCCTTTAACAGTGACAGCTGAAACTGAAATGAATTTGCCACATGTATAGAGCCAGGCCAGGTAGTATAATTGTCCGATCTGATTAGGCTCTATACTGTTGGCTGATGAACTTCAAATTTTCATTTTGATATCCCCAAAACTGATAAACATTACAATACCCCATGTCACCAGGGACATAGCTATTATTACGCACCTACACACATGCGTAACATTGATCCAAGAAAATAAAATTTCAAATATGCTAGAAAGGGTGTGAAAACTTAAGGGTATGGGTGAAGGTGGGTGGTGTAAGAGGGTTTTGAGACATGATTCCAAAATCTATTTAGCTCTAATCATATCATTGATTCTTTTTAAAATGTAAATATAGAACTTCTAAGTATTTAGGTAATTAGTTCCAAAGCTTTAAAACTATTATGTCTTGAATAACATTCATTAATTAGCACTGTTAATGTTATGTCTACGTAAAGAGTATTAATCCATAATTTGATAAAGAACTATACGAAACATAACACTGTTTTATGGGACCACCTTCATCACCATAATGCTCGCACGAAATACACTTCACTCGGTATCAAGAACAAGTTAATTTCTATATGTGGGGGAGATTATGATGATTATCAGCAAACCTATTGTGGAGACCTGCAATGCCGCTCCATTCTTTTGCTTTGTCGCCAACAAGGCCATGGATGCAGCGCCCATGGAGCAAATGGCTATTGTTCTTAATGTAATACTTTAGACGCGTCAATGAAAAAAAACAACCCATCAACAAACAACGACATTAACCACATTTGTTACAACAACAAATACAAGAAAAACGCAACTATAAATGGAGCAAATCGAGGAGCTTCAGGGGGCTTCCTATACCTTTCTCCTTAATCCTGTGCAAGTGTGCGTAATATTAATTTCGGCCTAACTATGCTGGTCTCTTTTATGAGAAGTTTCAAAGATGGAAGCTGGACAAGTTCATTTAAGATCTAGAATGTCTAAGAGTTAGACATAAGAAAGGTTACTGGTTACTGTAGTGAATCTAGTTTTAGAAATTTGATAGAAAAATAGCATAAATTTCTTAAAAAGTGGAAAAAGAAGACAATTCAAGCTACTGACAGAGCACAGGAACTTGAAATTCTATCAAATAACCAATATAAAAAAGCGCCTACATAGTAGGTGGATTATTTTGGATAATATCTTAAATATTTGATAGACATAATGATTTGAATTTCAGAGACGGGTTCAGAGACATCAGTCACAGTAACGAGGGGTACTAGATGGCCAAGCAGATCTAAGTTATAACAGAGTAAACTTTCTTACATATTGCTGGGGGCGTTGTCCTCCCCAAGACATTTTTACAGGAAACAATCCCAAGTTTATTCGATGAATTTCGTTTATTTGGGTATTTCCAAATTATTTTACGATTGTCGTAATCGAGTTGAACAATCGGTACCCCTTTGCTATTATTCATTTCTGGGTTGAACAACACCAAATATTTTGTACTGTGTTGATACCATTGTGTTGTCGATATTGGTATTTGAGAGGTGCGTATAGGATGGTCCCCTATGGTACCACTGTACTTATTATTTCCAGTAAATTGTACAAATAAAAATATCTTATATTTACTATTTTATTGAATTGTGTTTAGCCCTCGCATCTTGACTTTAAAATCCACATGTCTATCATAGAATAACTCAATGATTTTAATTAGAAACATCTATGGTCGGTCAGCCATATTTAGAATGGGAGCTTATACGGAGAGCACTATGGTACCCGTGGTATGTTAATTGATGGCCCTTTTTGCTTCAGAATAATTGTTTTGTAACAGAATATGCTGTCATTACAGTTTCAGCAGACAACTTTCATCTGTTGGAACATGAAATTATAAGTTTAACCGTTAAATATGGGGTAAAATAAAGAAGTTTTTTCAGCACACACAGGCAGCTTTCGATTTTCCTATCAATGACAGAATTTATTTGAAATGAAAAAAAATTCTAACAATTTTTATCCAAATTCACAAAAGCAGCACTTCCACTTTCACTTTAATGGTGGAAACAGTATTTGGTGACATTCAATCGTCAATCAATGTGTTAAGAAACAAATTTTCTGATTACATCGGAATGGGCAAGGACGCGGTACCAGCGGGGAGTACTATACAATGGTGTTGATACTAAATAGTATGGCATTCACAGAATACTGTGAAACACTTCATGCTAATTGCACAATTTAATAAAAAATAACAGTAGATTAGATTTCTATATTAAAATCACGTCAATAAGATCTTGATCAGTTCTCCTTGGCTGTACGTACTTACACGGAAAAGGGCCGAAACGTCCAGGGGCCGATTTTTCGACTGGGGCCGATTTGGTTTGGGGCCGAAACGTCCTGTTTCCGTACCTACATGTCACTCCTATCTCGATAAAGAGCTGAACTCTACCTGAGAAATTTTTCTCCTCTGATGCACGTGTAACCGTGTCTGAAAATAATCAAATAAAAAATTGAAGTTTTTTTATGATCTCGCTTTCTTATATGTCGTTAAGGCAATAAACTTTTAAAAAAATGACGTCACCCATTTAAGTGACGTCACAATTTTCAGAGAAGGAACCTTGGACATTTTGCAAGTTAACTTTGAATGAAAACTGTGAGTTCCTTTCAGAACGTTTAAATTTGGCTTAATAAAATCGCTAGCATGACTAATAATGCTCGATAACGCTTCAGGGCGGGTGATCATGCACGTGCACGTGTCATTTGTTTGCATTAATAGTTATGGTACGTCATTGTCCGCTAAGGGTGGCACTCATGACTATTAAAAGGTAGATTCTAGATCAATTTGCTTTTTTCTGCAAATCTGTCAATATTTTTATAGATCTAGTAAATTTATGTTTATAAAAATTAAAAGTCTTACACGTGGCAGGATTTGGTAGATAGACTGAACTCAGACAGACACACATACACTTGTGGTGTGGATCTTTGAAAAAAACGCCTTTAAAATTCAAATAAAATATAGATCTAATAATATAGAGCGGGTTCGGGTATATCTGAACAATTAAGCAAAAATCTTTTATCTAACTAAAACAGATTGGATTGTCTTGGCAACTTCTCAAGTAGTCAGAAATGACACGGACTCACTTTTCTGCGGGATATTTCGAACAAATCCTGATACATTGTAGATACAAAAGCAGTGCAACAGGATAAATTATGTCATTTGATGGAGGTAATTTATGAACACGTCGGGAGATTCTGAACTCATCGGAGGGTAAATCTGAATACTTTTGACTTAAAAAAACAACAACACAAACACTAAATACGTTCAGTTTAAACGGTTATATACGTTAAACATATTTGTTAGTGAATACATCCAAATTTGAAAATAAACATCCAGTTAAATTTCATTAAAATAAACACAATTTCAAATAAAATTAAAATACTCAAAATAGTTAAAACGTAACTATTAATTTACATTGTATTAAGTATCAGAAACAATGCAGTTCATGCCATGTTAACATAATTGTGCTTATAACAGTTTATAAAACGAAAGAAAAACTGGGTCTTTCAGGAATCAGAATTCTTAACATACATTCTGTTTCACTTTGTAATTCAACAGTAGTCACATTCAAATTGTAAATCTGCAATTTCACATTCAGACAATGAAAGCAAATCAATTGCTTTCACACAAGCTCTATGTAACCAACGTGGACATTTGTGACATGTAATCCAGTTTTCGGAGTCCCCATCAAATGCCTGGTCACAAGAATAGCATTTGGCGGTAGAAAAACTTTTTTCTACATCGGCCATTTCGTCATCAGCCAGGGGCGTAACTGAGCTATTTTGGTATGTACTCCTTAAGTAGGGGGGTTCGGGGGCATGCTCCCCCGAGAAAATTTTTGAAAGTGGAAGCGATATGCTGCCATTTTGTGACTATCTAGAGGCTATATTGGCAACATGTTTATAATGATTTCAAACTCATTTTCTTATTTTTTAAATATGTAAAATGAACAAGTACGTTACATACACCATAAAACATTTTTTAAATACATTTGTAGTTATAACCGATTTTTTTTGTAGCAAAAAAAATGTTATTTTGCGACCTTCAAACTTGATGTTATAGCAATAAATTTCCCGTATTCAGTTAATTTTGAATTAAACAAAAGCAAAACAAACAAACAAACAACAAACGCTAGATGTCTGTTTTC